TGGTTTCTTCGATTAGATATGAGGTTCGACAACAAAATTTGACCTCATCACCTATAGAGGTTTTAATGTGGATGGGGAGGGAAAGCAATGCGGTCTTCATTTCATTCAATACGAAATCGGAAACGTAGAGGTTGACTTGTCATATAACACCAACATGAAATTCTACACCTCTGATAGACCTATCAGCAACAGCTGCACAAAAAGCTACAGTAGATGCTCGTTGTTTGGTGACTGTCACCATTTCTATCTAACCCGGGTGTGGAGGACGACCGTGGCGTCGTGAGGAGTCCGTAGGAATCTCGAATCTGTAGAAATAATACTCCGATATAAGTACGTAATCACAGCTCTAACTAACAGTGTCAGATCAAAGGACAGCATCGGGCTAGCAAGTAAGGTTTGATATTAATCTATTGCCTGAATCATCTCATTAAAAAAAAAGTTTTAATAACAAGCTTTTATGTGATTGGGTCTTGACCTCAGAGGTGCAGCGACCCTTCCCGGAGCCCGGGGACAAACTTTCAATTTGGCGCCCCCCTCGGGAGCAAATTTAAATTTGCACCCCCCCCCCTCCCCCCCCCCCCCCTCAAACTTTTGATTTGTCCCCCCCCCCCCCCCTCATACTTTCGATTTGCACCCCCCCCCTCAAACTTCTAAAATGCAGCTAAAATGACATTTTAATTTGTTTTTAACCCATTTTGGCGCCCCCTAAGGTCGGCGCCCGGGGACATATGTCCCCCCCTGCCCCCCCCCCCCCCCCCCATCGCTATGCCTCTGCTTGACCTACGTGCCAAATTTCAGAGAAATCGGTCTGTAAGAGGTGATCGAAAATTTGTTCGACAGTTTCAATGCAGGACGATAGACAAAATGAAGACAGAGAAACCAAGTTAAATAAAAGCGCTTGTACTTGTAAAAACTATTTTGGCAAAACATAAATTCATGTGTTCTGTTTACTTTTTGTATTGTTTTAAATTAAAAAATCAAAATACTTCAGCGTTAGCCTTAATTTTCCGATTGATTTCACAAGCTACTACAATACGGGTAGCTTAATAAGTAGGCTTCGTACTTTTTATACACAAAGCGTATGTTTTGATCAGTTCATTTCTATTGGACATCTATGAAACATTCATTAGTGAGTCCGTGTACACCAAAAACAATGCAAAATGTTTCAAAAGTTCGCATGCTTGGTTGTTAGACTTAAATTTTGATAGTTGACTGATACATTGGCTTAAACAATAGTATCTTTCATTATATATATATATATATATATATATATATATATATATATATATATATATATATATATATATATATCCTTCAAACATTCATTTATGTCTATAGATCTATATTTATTTATACACATACGCTAATACGAAATCATGCACGTGTATGTAAACGTACACATAAATAAGGAGGATTAGAAAGTCAATAACAGAAAATAAGAGACTACTTTAATTAGATTGGTAATGTAACAACAATTTTATTGAGTCCACCCAACTATGATGGATACTCAACTCACGTAGGGGAAAATAAGGCACCCGGGCATAGTGCAATGGTTGTACATGGTATATCAATAGTTGTACAAGCTATAGCAATGGTTGTACAAGGTATATCAATAGGTGTACGTGGTATAGCAATAGTTGTACGTGGTATAGCACTAACACGTGTGTAGGCCTGTATCTCTATCTCTATGACAGTCTGTCCAATACGCCACAGAAAGATTTAACATTTTTTATGACTTACATAAAGTATACATAAAATAAAACTTTGTACCAGATTACACCATGGTATACATTGTATTTCGTGCACGATTATCCTGAGGGAAATCTTTTAATTCCATCTGCGGTCCGTGCCGCCCGGTGTCCTCGGATCCCTGCAGCCAGGCTTTTGGGCTTTGGGAGTGTGTGGGTGAACAGGAACTGGGAACGAAAGGGGCCGACGTCCCCATGGCAGACATGTTGACCTAATGCTGCGGCCTCCTCGTGGCCACGGACGGGTGCCCTACCCGGGTAGCGAACGGCAGCTAGGGGTTTTAGTCTGTGCATCCGTGTCAGCCAGCGTCCCCTGGTTGATGCTTGGATGCCGGTCCGAAGAGCCTGGTATGTCGGACTCCCAAAACCCCCATATTGGGACCAGGAGATCTGCCCGCATTGGACAGGTGAATCTCCGTTATCGTCCAAAATAGCGAGGTGGTGGAGAGATGCATGACTGCTAGGAATTAAAAAGGGTCTGTTCGCGATCCTAACCAGACGGTTTAACTTAAAGCTGCGGCCCTCACACGGCTTCGGACGAACTCTGCCAGTCGGACCAAATCCTCGGGGGGTGGCTGGGGGGCCGTCCCACAGAGGAAGCGGGATGGCTGGTGGAGTGAACAGCAGCTAGAGGATTTTCGCTCTGGTCGGTGGAACTGTTGTGTGCGTCCAGGTTCCAGCTTTTTCCGAAGAGCCTGACACGTCGGTCTCCCAAGTCCCCCACAGAACAGCGTGGGGGAGGAGAGGTGCAAGACAGTCGGAAACAAAAAGAGTCAGATATCGCTTTTGACTTGAAGCGGCGGCCTGACGAGGTTTCGGAATAATGTCGCTGGTCCGACCAAACCCACGTTAAGTGGATGCGGGACGGCCGGGGGCAGATAACAGCCGCTAGAGGTTTTTCGATCTGACGAGATGCCCCCCACGATCAAGCCGGGTACCAGGCGGTGGGACGACGTCCTGCGTCTGGTGGGAGGGGAAGAAAAGCCTGGTGAGAAAACCGCGGTTTTAGCGACCAATGTGTGGGGAGCCCTGGCCCTTTAACGGGGGCCGGGGCTTACTACATTGAGGCCTGCCTGGCTAATGGAAGTCCCCCTTCTGAGCCGGTTTCCGCATAAGAAGAAGAAGAAGAATTCCATCTGCTAGAGCAATTTTAACCCGTATAATTTTTCTATTAATCCAGTGCATGAGAGGATTAAACAACATAATATTATGTGGAGTTAGATTTGATTGTTTGTTGCTCACACATATGTGTATGCGGATTTTGGGATTAGGGTGACGTTGATGGAATGTACCAGCACAGCAGATATGGTAGAGTAAGGCTTAGATGGACGCCCGCATACAGACGCTGGCGGGAATCACGTGGTCATTCAAAGGTTTAGAGGGTTTACATGCTTCATGGGAAGTGGTATCAGGCGGAATGGTGGATTGTTGGGTATTTGTATAAGAACAAAAAAAGTTGTTTTCGAAACTTGAGGCAAAACTGAACTAGACCAGAATTGACCAAGTTTTCAACAACGATAAAAAAAACGACAGGTCTATTTCACAATCTTCCGAAAAAGTGGTAGTATTAAAATTGTATAAACACTTTATTATGTATTGAGAGTTCCAGTGCAATCGTGCATTATAAACTTTTTTTTAATTGTTTTTTAATATTTAATTTTTACTTTCTCGCATAGGCCTACATAGGATAGTGGAAGTCTTGTTATCGTGCATAAAAAATCACAAGAAATTTTGACAGTTTTAACCGTTTTACACCTCAGTACGCGTCAACGAGTCGGAAAAACTAAATTTTGCGTTATAGCTAGATTGATGAAATTCCACATATAAGTATTATATCTAATTTGTAGTTCTGTATCAACTTTTCATCGATTTCCGGTTACTAGAAGAGGAATTTATTCTACTTTTGGTTTTTCAAAAGCCTATAACTTGAGTACTGTTTCTGATATATGAAATTTCACATATAAGTAAATGATCTAATTCTGCTTTCTATTAAATTTTGAGTAACTTCCGGTAACCGGAATTAGCACTTTACGCAATAACCGATTTCTCAAAAAAAAAACGCAAATAAATTTATAAAGTACTAATGCTCCGCACTATTAAACACACATTGTTTGCTTTTCACTAGGTGAGCAATTATTTTTCTAAGAGATTTTATTCTATTTTTAAAAATGTAAAAATTTATTAAAAAACTAGTAGACCTACTTTATAATGAAACATCTATTTATTTGTTAAATAATCGAAACTGGCTACTTCCGATCACCAGTAGACCACTTGAACTGTCTAAGTATCAAGAAAATAAGATCTTTTACATATGTATAAAATTTAGTCTACCTAACGAAAACGGTACTAAAATTATCGATATATTTTTATACTAGAAATAGAGTAACGTACCACTTACGGTTATCGGGGGTCACTTAACAATTGGAAGTTATCCATGTGTAAGATCTTATATATGAAATTTCGTCTTCATAACAGGTCTCAAGTTAGCATGTTCCGACGAAAATACATTAACATACCACTTCCGATTACCGTAAATGGTTCAAAAGTTGTTAGTAACTTGTTAATACAATGTAATAAGTATATGTAAAAAAAATTCAATTTAACTTAAACAGAACTGTAGTCATTGGCTTTTGAGAAACTAGAAGTAGAGTAATTCCCCTTCCGGTTACCGGAAAACCGTCAAAATTGTATACAGAACAATAAATGTGATTTAATACTTATATATTAAACTTCATCAACATAATTAACAGACACAGACTCAGAGAGTTGTAAAACGCAGAGATTTGTCAAAATCTCAGTTTCAATTGTTTGCATAATTACATTACATCCTTTATATGCGATGAAGTTGGAAATTGTAAAACTTCGAAAAATGTCAAAAATGTAATTAATTTGTGTGCAGGATTACAATATTTCCTCTATACTATGTATACGAGAAAGTAAAAAAGAAAGCTTTTAATAAAAACAAGTTAATAAAAAGTCTAGTGACAATTTAAGCGCAATTTCCTTAATTAATTTTTTGTGACCGAACGAAATATTTTTGAAAACTTTCATCGGCAATATTGTTCTAAATTATGGAAGAAATAGATTGGTAAATGTTTCAAGTCGCTAAGTGGTCTGGTTGCCGAGATATGGGCCAAAAACTGCATTTTTTCGAGGTTTTTTTGGCTTTTCCGGGAAATCCAGAAAGGAATTCCGGGAATTTTTTTGGCCCACAATCATCCTCGAAACTTGCTTAACATATTTTCTTTTGGAACTAGTCCTCGATATTGCTTCGTTGAGGAGGAGATACGACTTAAAGCTGCGCACATCCATCCATCCATCCAGAAATGACGAGTTAATAATCGCAATAGTCTAGTATGGAAATTGCGCTAAAAATATAATAAAAGGACACAGCTACCTGGATTTTCGTCTTATATAAATGTACATGAAAACATAAAATAGGGGCCAGTGACGCATTAGACCGCACAGGGAGAAGTTAACTCCAACGCTTAGAACGAGAGTATATAACAACTGAAACATACAGCTCACTTGTGTTGTGATCGACTGACACGATATCAACACAAGCACTGAAAATGTCTGCTGGGCTATTGGCTACAGTGTTGGCTGTCAACTTCTTTCTCTGTTCCGGTCAGTTCAATATTTTAATTACTATATCATTTTTTTTTCTATGCTGTGCAGAGCTTCGTATTTTTTATGAATTTATGATAATTTTAATTTGCAGTGTTCTACTTAACCATCTGATAGAAAATAGTCATTCTTTTTATCAAAATAATACTATGAAATCTATATCCAAAAGTTAAAAGTATTGATGTAATATATTTAATAAACTATGTACAGAGTTTCTTCCAGGCCCGAAAAAATTTTACCGCCCCCCCCCCCCGAACGAAATTAAATTTATATTTTTTAAGTGTCCGCCCCCCCCCCCTCCCCCCAAAGAAAGTCTACCGCCCCCCCCTCCCCCCAAAGAAAGTCTACCCCCCCCCCCCCCCCCGAAAATTTCAAGTGCCCCTCCCTCCCCCCCCCCCCCCCCCCCCCCCAGGAGAAAAAAGTCTGGAAGAAACACTGACTATGTACTAATAACCTACTGATTTTTATAACTAGAGGTAACTAGAGGGTAACATCCATTTTTTTTATTCGCAGGATATGGACCTATTGGGAATATTACTTGTTTTAACACGGTAATATAAATACTTAATTGATAATTAATCTTCATTCGCTCCGCTATCAGTACCAATCGCTTACTACAAATTACGACTCACTTGCGCCAGAGTGGTTCAATGGTAGAGCATACATCTGCTAACCCGAGAGTCATAAATTTGAATACGGTACTTGACTCACGTCGAGGGAAAGCAATGCTCACAGAAAAAGTTGAACTCTTCAACATTTGCCGATTCGAAAGGAACGGTTTTTTTTTTAAAAACTATATGTGTGTGTATATATATATATATATATATAATTCAAAAGAAAACACAAATATAAAAAAAATGCAAACACAACTAATGCCAACGCAAACGCAAACGCAAAAAAAACACAAACGAAAACACAAACGCAAAAGAAGAAAAAAGGTAAACACAAACACAAAAGAAAACACAAACACAATGCAAACACAAGTGCAAACGCAAATATACATAAACGCAACACGCATAACATAAACACAACTTAAATGCAAACATAAACGCCTAGTGCTCGCAGTCTAGCCCGGATCGCCAAATCGCACCCGGCTGTGGTGCCGGCGGAACCACCTGATTCAACTTAGTAAACGACTTTAATACCCCAAATTATCCATTAAATAAACAAAAGGCAGTATTTAAAATATCCTTATTTCACCTACCACAGTGCACTTTATAAATCCAAGCTAAGTATATTATTCCAACAATAATGTTCTCTTTGACGTCTGCGGAATTTGCATTCACATTTTCTTTTATAAGCGTTAGTGGAATTTCTTTTTAAATTACCTCCCCTGGCATAATTATTAAACATTTTGATTAATTAGTTGTTTTTTTTTTACCAAAATGTTACTAAAATGTATCAAAATTTTCTATGAATCTAAGAGACAATATTATTGACATAGACCCGTTTAATATGTTTAAGCAATGTGCTTGTATTTAATATTTTCTTAATTATAAGCGAAAAAGTAAAAATCTGCCAACTATACAAAAAGTTAAGTCTTTATATGAATAAACCCTACACAACTAATTATAATAAGACTACTCGATGATAGTAAAAAAACAGTATGTGCTGATGTTCACATTTATGGTTCCAAAATCTACAGCGATGACGGCCTGACACACTACCAGCCCTCTTATATATTATAGATAATTGTCTTAATCTGCTTGAAAAAACCTTTTACAAATCGGATTTTGTTTTTTCAAAATAATTCTCTTAAATCGTCTTCACCAGATCAATTGTGACAAGAGCTCTATGTACAGCGATTTGTTTGCAAGGATCGTTTTGAGCTCTCCTATTGGTAGAGATGTTCTGTGTGACACTAAAACAGATGGTGGCGGGTGGATTATGATTGTGGTAAAATTAAAGCAATCAATAAATTGTCATAGAAGAATGTTTAGTGTTGGGCGAATGAGGGCAGTCTAAAGCAGCAAGGAGACCTTTTTCCATCGGATAACGAGGTTATGTAGTATAGCGATAAATATAGGCGTGAATATTTGTGTAATATATTTGTTTATTTAACTGTCCAATTTTTAAATTCTCAGCACCTATAAATGAATAACATTTTTAAATTAAAAGCTAAATAGGAAATAAAGCAATAATAATCAAATAGTAGTGATAATATTTTTTTAATTAAAATGTAATTTTAAAATTTTAGGTAATTTTCGTCGCCTAACCAGCGTAATATGTTTCATGTATAGTCTCAATTACTTGCAATCTTCTTAAAGCTCTAATTAATCTTTTTTTTTCAACTTAATTAATATCAAATCAGACTTCAAGCGGGGTTGCTTTAATGTTTTCAAAACAGTCGTGTATTTGTGGTGTATTAGCGACACAAACCTTTTTTTTCCTCTTAAACGTGATTTACTTTATTCGCAGTTACTTAAAACTTTAAAGGCTAGAATCAATTCATATAATTGTTTCACTATTTCAAAACATTTTTCCAAAGTTATCAGTAATTTCAATGTGTAAATACAATTATTAATGTATTAAATTTTTTTGTAAAAATTGAAGTGTTTTTGGAACAATTTGTAGCTAAATTTAGGTACAAGCTCTATGCCATTTTATAGATGTAACCCTATAAGGTTTCTTTCAGCGTCGGTCTATAGGGGACGTAGTGTTTTCCAGAGGTTGGGCCGAGTATAAGTACGGATTTGGTACGTACTATGGCGACTACTGGATGGGGCTGGAACAAGTTCATCAATTGACCATGGTACGATAGTTTGTAACATGTTTGTATCTACACTATCTACGTTTTTTCTTATTCATTATATATATATATATATATATATATATATATATATATATATATATATATATATATATATATATATATATATATATATATATATATAAACACATATAGATATACAAATACATACAAATACATAGGAAAACGCATACACAAACATATACTCATACACATGCACGGAGGAAGAACATTACCATCACCCCCCTCCCCTGGGACATCTTCTATGTCATTACCCCCGTAGAGCAATTGCCTCCCTTCCCCCTGTAAACTGCTCATAAAACTACAGTCGGACATTACCCCCCGGTCAACTAGACATATAGAAGGTTTAGGACTTAGGAGATGTGAATGGATTTCATTCAATCATTCAATCCTTTGTGGCCGCTAGGGAGCAATGGGCTGCAATCACATCTCTCCACCGGACTTGGTTTTGGGCAGCTCTCCTTATCTGTGACCATATGAGCACAGCAGCCTTTTTCCTCTTCTTATACCATTATTCTCTATGATTCCATAGGCGGCCCACTTCCCTTCTTCCCTGGGGATTCCAGTCCACAGTTTTCTTTGCGATATTATCTATATAACAACCTATCAACTAGAGATAAAGAATGTTTATCAGATGTGGATGGATATAGTAATATTAACAGATAATATCATGTATTCTAAAGATTAGAAACTGAATACACCTCAAATGTTGCTGTTTACCTATCACCATCTTTTTTATAAAATTAAAAGAACCAGTGCTGAATTTCCGGCCTATTTCGGCAATGCTGGATTATGAAAAAAAATCCGCGATAAATGTTGTTTCAGAATATTATGAAGGCATACACATCCAAGCCTGTTTTAATCATTTAGCATACACTTACGCCAAAAAGTACAGGATGATGTCTGATGTACACGGATGGCGCTTATTTGACCATGCTAGTAATGATGATAGCTTCTGCTTATTCCTATGTGGTCCTTCAAGAGCTTAGAGGTGCAACCACAACTTTCCGAAAACTGTTTTTTTTTAATGCGCCCTCGTAAGCCCGGCATCCCTTGTTTCATCTTCTACTGTCCTCCGCGAAAATTTTCTTGGCGGCCCACTCTCCACTTCCCCTGAAGATTCCAGTCTAATGCTTTCCTCGCGATGCCATTCCCACTTGATACAGAAATGTATACTATCTATATACATAATTCTCTTCTTGGAGACGATAGAAAACACCAAGCTGTAAGCGCGCTCCCTACCACCCCCAACCCTACATGGTCTGGTGAGCTGTGGTTCACGCTAAATGTTTGCAATCGTAGAGCCGGGTTTAGTGACGGCTATTATGGGCAGATAATATAGTTTGAAACAATTTTAAACTTAGGGGAGGTAACTAAGAGGAGTTTACTTTCACGGGGGGGGGGAGGGGGGAGGGGAAAGGAGGGGGGGTATTGTGCTTAACGCGCTTCTGATAGTGTTTTAAAGCAAATATTTTCAGTGGCAGCGTTGGTACCGTCGAATTCACAAATTATGAATTACTGAAAAGTAGAAAATAAAACAACTAAATAGTGGCGTATAATACGCCGCGGGTCGGCTCGTATTTTATATTGTTCATTTTCATTCACCTTCGCAGAACTTAGATGTTGTTTATTAAACATTTTTGAGCGGGGGTTCTAAACCTGGGGGAGTTTTGACGGGGGGAGAAGTCCGGGTTATTGACGGGGTCTAATGGCATCCTGGAGCACAGATATACACACACATACATACAAATACACATACGTGCACTGATACATTGACCTATACTCATACCTGGATTTAACTATAACTATACATAAACTTATACGCTTACGTGAACGAATACAAATGCATATTTTTAAAAAATATTATCACCAATTTAAATCGGTAGGTTGGACGTTGGGAACTTAGGGTTGACATTAAGTTCAAAGGCAAAGACTACTACGCAAAATACGATCTCTTTGAAGTCGAGAACGAGGCACAGTTCTACAAGCTCCATGTTGGCGACTTCTCAGGAAACGTCAGCGATGGGCTTTCTTATCACGACGGCATGAGATTCTACACATCAGACAAACCGACCAGTAACGACTGTTCTAGAAAATACAGTGGGGGGTGGTGGTTTCAGGAGTGTCATCGGGCCTACCTGACAGGTGTATGGGGGTCGAGAGTCCTCTATTCGGGGATCCATTGGTACCCATTGTCCCCCACCGAAAATCTCGATTCGGTGGAAATGAAAATGCGAAAATTGTGCTGAGTGTTTCGCTTGAGCTCTCATCACACACCCCCCTTCTTTCTTCTCAACATCCACAATCTCCAAAGTATGGCAAGTTTCTTAGAATTTATTGAGCTTGTTGATCATACAACATTGCTTTAAAAAAATACAATTTCTATCTATTAAATATGTTGATTTTGTAAAAAAAATAATATATAAAAAATTCTAGAGAATTTCAACAAAGTCGTAACAAGATATAAAACTGATTAAAAGTTATTAACATTTAAAAACAAAATTGTAAGTGCAAAATAACAGTTTTTAAAGATCGTCTCTAAAATAAATAATTACAAAATATTTTGATCCCGCTTCACATCCTTCGTCACAAATTGTCTTATAATACGAACGTCTTTCACAACCCCTCCACCCCTACCCCCAGCCCCATATCCTGAGTGTGACGAGGATGACACTTTACACCGCTTAAATTTAAAATTGAACTTCGAAACAAATTTTGATGCTATTAGTTCTTGTCTTAAACTTTTAATTGAACTCAGAATTTTTTTTTTAATCCTATTAGAACAAGTCAATGTTTTTCTTTATACAATTATTAAGATTTATGCTTTAAAAATAAAGTTTATGACACGATGTAAAAAAATTGGTTAAATAAAAATTGCTTTGATGCTACAAAATTATTCTTTCTCAAGTTTGTTTCGTTATTTTTTTTACCATTTTCAGTCAAAATTTACTAGATGGCGAACTTGGGCAATACTATAGGTCTTTCGTTTAGTTGTGATATACATTGACCTGGTGTAGGTTATAGACATTATAAAAGTATTTTAAGCGATATAAGCATAGGCAAGCCTTTTGTGTCTCAGATGAAATGGTTATACCTAAACAAGGCTAATTGAACGATTGCGGTGGCGAATATTTCACTTATTAAAACATGGAATGGTGAAATACCAATACATTTACCAATTAAATATAACTGTGTTTCATGATAATAAATTTTGAAAATTTAAAAAAAAATATTTTTAGAATGTTTTCTTTTACAAAATCTAGGCAGCCGACTAGAGTTAGGAAAAGAAGGATCAATTAAAATAAATTATGATGGGGTTTTTTTAAGACGTGGCAACCATATGTTCAAAAGAGTCCCTAATACATGCAAATATGTTCTCTTCAGTACCTTACTACAAATAATTTTTTCAAAGGCGGACGTGCTTTGAGCAGGCGCCTGAAAAAAAAACTCTGCATAAAACTTCTCCTACTTAAAAACAACCAAAACTTGTAGACAGGACTTACAAATACAATAATACGTCAATACAGTGTTATTTTTTTTAAAGTTTATTTTAAAGATGTAATTGTGTACATGTGTTTAGCTAGTATCGCCATAACTGATTAAATATTTGGGGAAATTTTTTTTTTTAAAAGGAGTGAGAAAAAATAGTAAAGTTGGGCTAATTTCAGGCCCTATACACTTTTAAAAAACACCAAGATTTATAATATTTATATATCTACAAGGAATGTATTTCTGAAGTATTTTAACAATATTTCAATTTGTTAAGAAAATGTCTTGTTATCGAATTATTCTAAAGAGTGAATGAATTCAGCCACTTCATCGTGTGCTTTGGCAGAAGTCGTCGGGTAGTCTGCTACAATGCTGAAAAACGCGTGAGGGACGCCCTCTATATTAACCTCTTTGACCTTGACCCCGGCATCTCGCAGTTTCTTGGCAAAGGCCGCGGCCCAGTCTTTCAAGGGGTCAAGGTCGGCGGTGAGGACCAACGTAGGGGGAGACGACTGGAGGTTTTTCCTGGCTGACGGGTTGACCCTCGGGTTGGTGGCTGCCCCAGGGATGTGAGGCACGAAAACTTCAAACATGGCGTCCATCGAGAGAGTGTTGAATGCCGGGATGTCGCGGAACTCGTCAAACGAGGGCAGGTTGCAGGTGAGGTCAGTGACCGGGTACACCAGCACCTGGAAGGCCACGCCCTGCACGTCATTTAACACACTGCACGTGATCTGCCCGCCTGCACTGTCCCCGCCCACACCGACCTTGCTATTTTTAGACCCGCCTACGACTTCCTTGTTTTCCAAGACCCATTTCGTTACAGTCAAGCAGTCGTCAAACGGCGCCAAGGGATTTTCTGGACAAGGCAACAGCCGATAGTCCGCCATTACCATGACAGCCTTTGTTTTATTTGCAAGAGACTTCATACAGCAATCATAGCTAGGCGGGCTTACCGTGACCAACCCGCCACCGTGGTTATAGATAAAAATAACCGGATCTTCCGGACAGTCGCTTGGCTTGTAGACTATTATCGGAATCCCGGCCTTGACCTCTGAACTTGGTACCGTTAATTTTCTCACGGTTCCGTCAAACGGGACCACGTCTTCGCCATCACGGCACAAAATCGGGATGTTGTCCCTCGCTTTCTGTAAGGTGGTCATGTGGAAGGGCTGTAGACCCAGGTCCATGATGCGCTGGGTGCTGGCCAGAGTCTCAGGGTGGAGCGTGTATTTCCCGGACCACCGGCGCCAGGCGTCTTCAGCAGCTTTAGTCGTCTTGTCCTGCAGATAGAGTAACATTTTTGTCTATTGTAGATTAGGTAGTTTGGTATCAAAACATCAAACTGGAAAAAATACAACACCGGAAAAGTTTATTATTAAAAGCAAATAAAGCGAAAATACCTCAATAATTTTTTTGTGGTCAAGTTTTACCTTCTTTAGAAACACCTCACCAGACTAGAGTAAACTGTTAACTTTCTTCTAACGTTTTGAATGTTTAGGCTAAGATTAAATCTGTGGCTTATTGTTAACAGTTTGTATCAAATTTTTATACTAGACTATCACTTTAGTGTGTGTACCAGTTACAATATCTTAATTCCAGCGTGGTGGTAATAAAAGTTGTATTTCCAAGTAGTTTCTTTCATACATTTTTCCCGTAGAAAACTGGTTAAAATGTATATATTTTACATAAATGTTTATTTTTCAATTTCGTAAGGGGGGTTGGACTTGTTAAGTAGATATGCCTGAAAGAAACCTTCATGATGTAATGGTATTGGCTGCCTATAGAACCGGTTTACAAAGGGAAACGAGTGGCAAAAGTTGGGGAATGCTGTGTTTATCTACTTTCAGCAGCCCAGACTTTAGTGACAGCAAGAGGGAAACAAGTTTAATGTAGAGGCAAACAAGCGCTAGATATAGGGCTGGTAAGTAGGTCACCAAACAGTTCTACGGCTCAATAAAACCTGCATGAGCCATATAACTGGTTGGTGACCTATTTACCAGCCCTATACCCGGACTAATGGCGGAAGGTTATACAAAATTCAAGTTGGTTGTAGTGATACCGGGAAAGGTTTAAAACACGCACTAGCTTCTAAATGGCTACACTGTATGAAGTAAAATACCTCAGCTGGTCAAATTACCTGACTAGATGGCGCCACTTACTTTAAGATTACTACACTAATTCTTTGAAGTTTAGCTTCCCTCAATTAAGTCTAACAAACTCACTATATTGCCCCTAATAGCTACACTCTTATTAAGAATTCTTAAAGTTGTGTATGCATTTTTCAGAAACTAGAATCTGCAAGAACAATTATTCGTACACTATTATTTCAGTGGAAACTCGTTACATTTAGACATGAATACACTTAATTTTCTAGAAAAACGAAAGACAATTCCGTTCGTTGACTGAATCACTGTATGTACGCTGACTCCGAATGGGCGTTGGAAGCCTAAAACTTTTGTAACTATAGTAATAAATAAAAAAGAAAATTTACCATTATGTTCCTTGGGAGATGTTAGGTATAATGTTGTAGAGTTTTCTTCGACACTGGTTAGACTTAGCAGGCAAAAGTGAAAGAACGTTCTTGGTCACTTGGTGTTCTGAACTTGGCAGAATTAGCCTGGATAAGAGACTTGTTTTTTTGTTGACTAGCGACCTTGAGATAGCAGGAGCTTATCAAATACTTAAGTAACAGGGGCGTAGTGGATACTGTAGTAACGGGGGCGTAGTGGATACTGTAGTAACAGGGGCGAAGTGGATACTCAGGGGTGTAATGGATACTGTAGTAACGTGAGCGTAATGGATACTGTAGTAACACGTGCGTAGTGGATACTATAGTAATAAGGGTGTGGTGGATACTCTAGTTACGGGAGCGTAGTGGATACTGTACTAACAGTGGCGTAGTGACCTTGATCCTTGACCACGCTGACCTCTATAATTTAAACAAATGCGTGTTTAAAAATAAAAGCTACTCTGTAATTATTTAACGATTTTTTTAATTAACTATTTTTCCAGTATTTTTTTAATAGTCGATTCGACAACTGTCGCCGCCACAATATGTCTTCCATCGATACGCCTTTGACGTCTGCATGTCAGAAGGATGTCACCTTGATCTGACACATGCTAATGGTGTCCTGAACCAGACAGTGGCGTCGCTAGGTCGGGTGTCGCCCGGTGCGGCCCTCCGTGGTGTCGTCGCCCCCCCCCCAAGAAATTATATATATATATATATATATATATATATATATATATATATATATATATATATATATATATATATATATATATATATGTTACGGTCAAAGCCCGAAGTGCCGCCAAAGCCCGCATTGGCCGGCCAATGTGCGCATTGGCCGGCTCTCTTGGCCAAAGCCCGAAGAACATAGCACTAAGAGGGTATTTTGTACACTGGCCGGCCAATGCACGCACTGGCCCTGACGTACTGGCCAAAGTCCGAAGCACATAAACTTTACAGCGTATTTTGTACATTTGTCGGCCAATGCGCGCACTGGCCGGGATGACCTGGCCAATGTTCTATCTAGACTAAGCTGTGATCGCGTTTTCATTATTCTGGGTGCTGTTTCATTGTGAGTAACATGTTGTTTAGCTCTTGTTTGTATATCATTCTATACGCAAGGCGACATGGACCAAAAGGGCCTTCAGACCACGAGACAGACATGTCAAAAGAAACAAATTGAATCCATGTTAGTTTCCATATATTGGCTACAACTGTATGTGACAGCATTAAAAAAAAATTTTGTAGTGCAGCACATTCTTGTGGATCCTGTGGCAACGATGCCCGTGCTATTTGCGGAATACCCAATGAAGCAGACGAAGGGTACGGAGGGAACATTACCTGCAGATTGTATCACAACAGGGCAACAGCTCATGCTAGCTTGAAAACTCAAGACGCTAAGATGCTTAAAACATCAAATACAAAATTTAAACAAGCTGAAGTGGGTGACAATGTACGCATCCGTATACCAGATGTTGACAGAGGTCGCGGTGATCCCCGTAGCGTCATTTCACTTGTCATGAGCCTCAAGGGCGGTTTCTACAAATTAGGAACGGAACGTGGTATTCTAAAACAACTGTATGCTAGAAGTGAGTTTTCAATTCTTCACGAAAAACTGCTCTTATTGTCGTCAGTTGGCACTGAGGAAAAATCACTACGAACCATCGAATCTTCACAATCATTGACCGGCGACCAAGGCTACACTCGCTGCAATTGCACAACCAGGTGCACAACAAATCGCTGCAAGTGTAAGCATAACAAGTTACTATGTAATTCTAAATGCCATAAAAGTTCAACTTGTTGTAACAAGTGATAATATTGATTGATTGGGACTATAGTACAATAAAAAAATTTGAATGTTTCTGTCATTTACTTTAATGAATAATCAATAAAGACTTAATTTCATGATCATTTCGGTATAAAAAACCCAAAATCTGCTCATGATCTTCTAATTCAGGCTTTGGCCGTTCCACCATGGCCGAAATCAAGCGCTATTTCAGATTTTTGCCAAAGACGAAACCAAGCAAAGTTTCGGACTTTGACCGGTCAATGGACAATGCGCGCATTGGCCGACTTCGGGCTTTGACCGTAACATATGTATATATATATATATATATATATATATATATATATATATATATATATATATATATATATATATATATATATATATATATATACATGTATGTGTGTGTCGGCCATTATAGGCCTATAATTTAAGTATATGCCGCATACGCGTACATGTATGTTTATACGCTTTAATCAGTGCTGACGTAATAGTAACGATGTTTATCTATAGTGTATTAATAATACAGTTGTATGTAGCATTGTTTTCTCTATAGTTAGCACGTTTACGTCATGGTGTCACCTCCACCCTCTTGTAAAAATTGTCACTTTGAACTTAAAAGACTATTTAACTTTAACTAATCATAAAGGGAACTAGGAAAAAAGCATTTTTCTTCTGTACCTTTTGCAAAAAAATTTGACAGGGTGTCACCCCCTTAAATGGTTTCACCCGGTGCGGTCAGCACCCCCCCCCCCCCTCGCCCCTCCCTCGCTACGCCTATGTGTCCATACAGACAGCATGCTCTTATAAACTAGACCTTAGTTCTTAGTGACCCAAATGGTTCATCTCATCATTTGTCGAGATTAAACAAGGAAATAGTGCTGTGTTTGTTTAAAAATTATGCTGGTTATGACGAGTCAGCAATATTTCGAAGTTGTTTTTTTTTCACGATCTCATAAACAATATGCGCAAACCTATACCACACAAAAACGACCATATATATTACACCTCTATAAAACCACATACGCAGCATACACAAACATATACGCAACCAACAAGATATCTTATTAGACCGCATACACTATATACACGAAGACATATAGGAACGTATACATGACCTCGTATGTAACCACATCCACGATCACATACACCCCATACACGAACACATACACGGCCATGTTTTTATCATATACACGAACACATACACAACGTACGTGACCACATGCACGACTTACACAAACACATACACATCCACATACGTCACATACTCGACCTCATACAACATGTATTCGATCGCATACAAAAAACAACGAACACATAATCCACACACACGACCACATACATGACCACATACAGACATACATGACCACATACCCAATTGCACACTCGAGCACATACATGCCCACATACATGCCCACATACACGACCACATACACACATGCCCACATACAGAAACACATACACGCCCACATACAGATATACATGACCACATACACTACTACATACATAATCAGTTACGACGACCTACACTACATCCGCAGCCAATTACATGACCCCCCTACATATCACATACACTAATACATATCTGGATCGTATATTTCTACCATCCTACGGGGTAGGGGTCGGCCACAAACTCGTTTGTTCTGTCAATTAGCCCACTCAACGTTTACACACACACACACGCACACACACACACGCGCACACACACACGCACACACACACACACACACACACACACACGCACACACGCACACACACGCACACACACACGCACACACACACACACACACACACACACACACAGTGAAACTACTTTACTTTGGTTTGGTTTAACCGGTCTGCTAGAACCAAACCGATGTCTTTTTATTTTTCTTTGACACAAATCTTTTAGGCCAATGTTCACAACCTTCGATAAACAAAAGAACAAATAGAAATACTATAAATAGAACTATCACAGGTATTTGTTTTAAGAAATTACTTCGTGAGATTGTTGTTGCTTTATTTGTAGATGGCTGAAATCCCAAGCCAATGTTGCTTTATTTGTAGATGGCGCTAATATCCAAGGCGAATGTTGCTTTATTTGTAGATGGCTAATATCCTAGGAGAGTGTTGTTTTATTTGTAGATGGCGCTAATATCCAAGGCGAATGTTGCTTTATTTGTAGATGGCGCTAATATCCAAGGCGAATGTTGCTTTATTTGTAGATGGCGCTAATATCCCATGCAAATGTTGATTTATTTGTAGGTGGCGCTAATATCCCAAGCAATTGTTGCTTTATTTGTAGATGGCTAATATCCCAGGCGAATGTTGTTTTATTTGTAGATGGCTGATATCTCATGCGAGTCTATTATTGTTGTTTTATTTATAGATGGCTGATATCCCAGGCGAGTCTGAGTCTCTAGACATCGTTTTGGTGGACGAAGTTGGGCACATGAGTTGTTTAAACCTGGACCGGAAGCTGAGGTTGACAAGGAGATACACGCAGATGTTAACGGAGGCGTTGAGGCTGGCGAAGAGGGCGGTTAGTGCCCAGAGGAATACGTACACATTCTCGTACAGGCGTCCGATGTACATTTCTGGGATGAGAAGTGTGGCGTACACGGCGACAAATCTGGAATAAGAAGTGTAGATAAGGGGATGTGGATGGGCGTGTGGGGTAGATGTAGGTGTAGGTGTGGGTGTGGGTGTGGGTGTGGGTGTGGGTGTAGGTGTAGGTGCAGGTGCAGGCGTAGGCGTAGGCGTAGGCGTAGGAGTAGGTGTCGGCGTAGGCGTTGGCGTAGGCGTAGGCGTAGGCGTGGGTGTAGGCGTAGGCGTAGGCGTAGGCGTAGGCGTAGGCGTAGGCGTAGGCGTAGGCGTAGGCGTAGGCGTAGGCGTAGGTGTAGGTGTAGGTGTAGGTGTAGGTGTAGGTGTAGGTGTAGGTGTAGGTGTAGGTGTAGGTGTAGGTGTAGGTGTAGGTGTAGGTGTAGGTGTAGGTGTAGGTGTAGGTGTAGGTGTAGGTGTAGGTGTAGGTGTAGGTGTAGGTGTAGGTGTAGGTGTAGGTGTAGGTGTAGGTGTAGGTGTAGGTGTAGGTGTAGGTGTAGGTGTAGGTGTAGGTGTAGGTGTAGGTGTAGGTGTAGGTGTAGGTGTAGGTGTAGGTGTAGGTGTAGGTGTAGGTGTAGGTGTAGGTGTAGGTGTAGGGGTAGGTGTAGGTGTAGGTGTAGGTGTAGGTGTAGGTGTAGGTGTAGGTGTAGGTGTAGGTGTAGGTGTCGGTGTCGGTGTCGGTGCGGGTGTCGGTGTCGGTGTCGGTGTGGATGTGGATGTGGATGTGGGGGTGTGAGTGGGTGTGGGTGTAGGAGTAGGTGATCATACACAGTGCCAAATCTAGAATAAGGGGCGTGGGGTGTAGTTCGGTTTGGGGTCTATGTGGGCGTGGGGTGTAAGTTGGCATGGGTTAAGGTGGACATGAGACATAGATAGAATGAAGAATAAACAACGAAATATTTTAAAACAAACTACAATAGAACAAACTACAGTAGAACAAACTGCGGCAGAATAAACTACAATATAACAAACTACAGTAGAGCAAAATATTACAGAAGAAACTGCAGCAGAATAAACTACAATAGAACAAATAACAAGAGAATTAACTTCAATATAACAAAATACAGTAGAACAAACTACAGTAGAACAAAATATTTCAGAACAAACTGCAGCAGAATAAACTACAATAGAACAAACTACATTAGAACAAATAACAATAGAATTAACTTCAATATAACAAAATACAGTAGAACAAACTACAGTAGAACAAAATATTTCAGAACAAACTGCAGCAGAAGAAACTGCAGTAGAACAAACTACATTAGAACAAATAACAATAGAATTAACTTCAATAAAACAAAATACAGTAGAACAAACTACAGCAAAACACAGTATTTTAGAACAAACTACAGTAGAAAAAAAAACTATTTTAGAACAAATTACAATAGAATAAACTACAGTAAAACAAACAATAGTAGAACAAACTACAGTAGAACAATCTAAAATAGAACAAACTACAGAAGAACAAACTAAAACAAACTACAGATAAACAAACACACACTACCATCACCCACCTCGGTGTGTTGCAGACGGTCAAGATAATGGCCAGAAACACGACCACGGTCACCAGACGACTCTCCTTCTGCGACAGCATTGACCGCCTCTTGACGTCATCGCCTTGCTTGTGTTTCCTCACCTTGGAGCTAGACTTGAGCCCGTAGCTCAGGCAAACCGCGCTTCCGATAACCAGCGCCTGCTGAATGACGGGCAACACAGCACCGTTCAGTATGTCCACAGCGTGGTGGATGGTGGCTCTGTTGGCGCCGTAACTCACTACCATGACGGTGGAGGAGTTTGAAAAATTGGACGCGTCCTCCGAAGCCCAGTCTAACTTGTGCGTCGCGAATATAGGGAGGTAACTCCCGATGTGGTACGCGTAAATAAAAACCACCGCCGCGATGCTGCGGTTGCGGGTGAAGGTGGCCCTGACCTTGAAAGGGTTGATGACGCAGTAGCATCTCTCGAGGGAGATGAAGGTCGTGATCCAGTTGGAGACGAGGTACATAAGGTCTTGCGACCAGCATAAGGAGACGTATTGGATGAGGATGGGGTTCATGAACTTGCTGGGGGTCGTGATGTTGGCCAGGTAACAGACGGACGACCCCAGGGTTTGAACCGTGACCAGCAGGTCGGAGAGGGACAACGCCCACAGCCCCACCGTCATGCTGTCCTTGACGCCCATCTTGGAGAAGATGACGAGGTTGATGACGTTGGTGACGGTCCCGAAAGCGGAAATGACGATGGGTATGACGATGCTGAGGTACAGGGTGACGTAGAGCATCAGCCCGTCGGGGATCAACCGGTCCCGGCTGGTGACGTCATGCTGGGTGGTGACGTCATCTCGGGCGGTGACGCCGGAAGGCTCCGTGCTGTTTACCAACATGTGCTGTGACGTGTTTCCGGCAAAATTATCCATTAAGTCTGCTGAAACACTCCACACATTCATGGACGCCATGTCTTCCTAGCCGCAGCCACCAATGTTGACTGGAATATTATTTAGACCGGCATATTAGACTCACAAATCCTGTCAGGCAAATCACATTTTTAGACATTACCTGTTTGAAAGACATGTTTAATTAGCTGCATGTCCCATAAAAAATCGATACAAGTTATTAATTTTCTTTCAAATAAAATCGATTTTTTTCTATCCGAAGGGATGTTCCGTCATATTCAATGTTTGAGATGTTGGTAGCCCAAGGACAATACTAGCGCTCTGGTTTCTAGTCTCTGGTGTATAGCGCCGAGTGCAACATAATCGTAGGCTTTGTGGATTATAGAAATTTATTTATCTTAAGATGAGAATAAAGTTGCGTGACATTAACATTTAACATAAACATGTATTTATTTATATAAATTATGTATTTATGTATTTTTTAATTTGTTTATTTTATTTTATTTTTTATTTATATATTTATTTATTTATTTATTATGTATATGTTTATTTATTATTTATTTATTTTAATTTTATGTTTTTTATTTTTTTTTATTATTTATTTATTTATTTTATTTAGGCTATCTATTTATTTATTTATGTTGTTAATTTATATATACATACACACATATACTTTTAAATTTATTTATACACATTATATTTATCATAAATATCACCACAAATACAACCATGTCGAAATTTACTGCAGACAATGCAACGAGCAATACTTAACACTTCACTCATGTAGCACTCAAATCATTTGAAGTTGCTCTAAACATCACATAAAGCACTTAATATATAATATATTGCTTCTTACTTGCTAGCACTAAATACACTAAAGGTAGACCTACCAGAGGTATCAAAATTCTACTTCTACTGATACACCCAAACTCAACATTACATTAACTCTTTCAAACCTGAGTACTCCTGCACTTAATGAAAGCCACTGCTAACCCACAAGCAGCTAATCAGCCTTCATCACAACTGCACTACGCATATCAAACATAACAAAAACTGAAGCGCTTTTGTTGGTTTTTTTTTTTAAGTTTAAGTTGAAGGATTTAATGGATAATTTCAAGATCCAATCTATTTAGACTATCTTAATTAAAATCGTGAACTCTTATTCTTCAAACAAGGCCACCCTAACGGAAATGAACGAAGATACTTATCAGATATTTGAAGCGTTTGATTTACTCTACTTCTGTGATAGCCGCCCTTGGTGTTCTATAAAATGTTTTCAACAGCGGAGTTCTAAATAGCAACATTAGCTCATCGGTGGAAAATCGATAGGCATGGTAGGGTTATCTGTGCTTTAGTGGTCATTTACCTGTTGCTAAGGGGTCAAACCCTGCAGTTTAGGAGCAAGCACCTTAGGCTTGGGGGTCACACCTTGCAGTTTTGGGATCGATAATATAAGGGTCGGGGATCAGATACCTGTGGCTCAGGGATCGGACAAATGCCGCTTAGGGGTCATACCACGCAACTCTGGGGTCGGGACTCTGCAGGTCAGGGGTAGCCACTCTGAAAGACAGGAGTAGACACCGTGTAACCTATGAACCGGTTCTTTTTTAAAGTTGGATAAAGAAAAAATATGTCAGGAAGTGCAAAATGTGGATTTTAACATACGTTCTGCTCTTTTCATCATCGACATCTTTTCCAGTTCGTGTCCAAGATACATGGGGTAGATGAAGTAGAGTTCATCTCGGCATTCAGGAAGGGTAATGTGCTAAGCCGCCTTCGTTTCTTTAACGTGTCAGGTACCTATCAGAGCTGAGTGGACCCAGAGACGTCTAGCTGACTCTAGCCCGCGATCCGGACCCAAGACTTTCGGGTTAGCAATCGTAAGCCCTACCATTCGACCACACCTTCACATTTGGTGTTGTTTAACGAACCAGTATCAACATACAACATTAAAGTACCGGTGGTTCTGCGGTAGAGCGGACAGCTGATCAAAGATTCGTTTCCGGTTCTAGTCTGCAGGACCTCCATGACCTGGGAGAGTCAAAGTAGGGAGGGGTAAGGGCAGCTGGTCACCGTACTGCCCACATCACCCTATCATCCGTAGGTGTCATAGAATCAGATCAACTCTCCTCCCCCTGCTCCGTTGTCAGACTACAGACCTAGACTGACTTTTTACTTCTCTCTTCTCTCTTTGTTTCAAACCATTCCTATTACATTTTTTAAATAAATTACCAACGTTTTCGAGATGGGATTTCAATTATATAAAGTAGCCAGTTAGAAAGAAGAAGCTAAATTAATTTAATTTACATTGAACCGCAAGACTTTTTTTTTATTTCTTCTTGCATTGTTCGCATTTTATGTTATCTAAAATTAAATCATCTATTTCCATCGTTAAATTGCCTAGGTAGTTTTCTTTAATTGTAATTTTTTTTTACAATTATGTCCTATGCCCGACCCCTCCCCCCACCCCACCCCTCCACCCCCACCCCAGCCCACATCGGTTTCGCAAGCAAAGAACAAAAGCGACTCATAGCAATCTTTTCCAATAGCCCCAAGGGAAACAATTCTATTCGATACGACTTACTTTACTTTCTCTTTCTTTCTACGGTATGAGTTTCCATAGATTCGTAGTACAATAAATTACATTTCTAAATAAATTACCTACGTTTTCAAGCCGTCATTTCCAAACCAGTCTAATGCAAAAGTCAATTTTGATCAAAAAATATTTAAGTTAACAGTGAAGCTTTACAAGAAGGTAATTTGAACTTTGTGGCAAAAATGATTTTTATCTGGTTTAAATAAACTAATTTTTTGTGAGAACAGATTTATTACAACATTGAATTTATTTACAGATAATATTGAAGTGGTTTTTGAAATTTAACTTTATTATTTATCTTCCCAAAAAAAAAGTTGAAAGTTTTAAATGTTGTGTATTTCACCGGACCAAATCATTGCAGGCCTAAGTGGATAGCCTAGTCTGTGTCTAGATTTATTGGAGTTTAGTGTTTCGCGCAGGGATCGCGATCAGAGTTTCTTTCAGACATCTCTCCCGAGGGGGGGGGTCAGACATAAGTACCCCCTCTCTTGAACACGTCTACAGTCCTCCCCGTATGTAATGGGAAAAAATGCATATATTATATAGAAAATATTTCTTTCAACCAGCGTCAGTCTGACCCCGGATATTTTAAGCGCGCCTACCCCCCCCCCCCCCAAACCCAATCCCGAAAGTTTTGTGACCCCCACCCCCTGGGGTAAAATGTTTGAAATAAACCCTGATCGCGATTCTGCTATTTTACAATAAAATCAACTGATAGTTTGATTTTTCACATGACAACAATGGATTAATATTTTTTGGCTTCTATTTCATTTCATGTAATTATTGTTTGTTTGTTTTTTTCTCTTTTTTTACATTTTTTTTACTTTGTTATTTGATTTTATTGTTCCTTTTGTTTTAGTAAAAAGATTAATTACAATTTTTTAAAAATATTTTGACGGATTACTTGTTTTTGTTTTGCTTGATTTAATGATGACCCTTTTTCCAAAACGTTGCTTGTGATAGTTTGGTGTATTATACGTCGTGTGGGGGTCGGCATAGTCGAGTCGGAAAAAAGTCTCGAACCCCCGGGCAGATGAGGCTCGATAGCTGGGGACAGCCACTCCTCTAGGAGAGACAACTCAAAAATCAAACCACAAGTTTGTTCTTGTTGGACAAGGGCTATTGAAGCAAATCCAAAAAGAAAAGCAGGCTGAAATTTGGAGTCAACGGTCTAAATGGCGCATAAACAGTTCTCACGTATACTTAATTATGCTGAAGGGTATCTCTTCCAACACTAAAATTAAGAACGAAGAAGAAGATACGCCATGTTTTAATATGCTAATACAGAGTGCGCCAGTGGTTCGTGTTGGTACGTCCTACACCTATTAGATGCAACATTTCTGTTGTAATCGAAGCTTTAGCTTTTTTACAGCAATGTAATTGTCTAATTTGTCTAGTTTAAGTTTAATGTTTACTTGCCTGGGTTAATCCTAGTTCATCTCAAAGTTATAGTGAAAGTACAATTGGATTTATTTTGTTCCCATTTTAACTCTCTGATTACCATTGTATCTGGTCAACTGGGCAATTCAGGCATTACCTTTATGCCTCTATGTCTAAAACCAATCAACATTCACAACAAAATTACATAGCTGTACTTTTTTACCATCACATTAATCCTAAACAGTTATAAATACGTACGTCATTTTTTTTGCCAAGTCCTATACAAGCCTACATATTAACTTTAATTAACCCATCTGACCTATAACTACTTTATGAAGAAGTCATTAGTGATAAACACTAATTTGACGATAACTTAACAGTCGTTTTAATGTACATATAGTTAAAGACTATAATATTTGAAACGATAGTGATTTTAGTGGAAAACTACAATTATGATGATAAATAACTATCTCAAAATTAACAACAAATTAGAAATCGATTCCTTTTTACAGCCTAAAATCAGCTTTGAAGACACGAGTGAAGGAATCGACTATCTAATCATAGCTTGTTGGCAATCGATCCTTTAAATTGTTTCATTTTATTTTAATGGCATCCAATTAAATGGGTTAAACACACTAATTACTTTGAGAATTTTACGTTGTTTTGAGCAATTAGATGTTAAATGAATATTTTGATCAGGAAACGAAAGGCGTAATTAATACAATTGATTTTAAGCAAATTTACTAAGGATATTTTAATAATAGTTCAGCCACTCGGCTTAGTTAATGATATATTTTGGAATGGTTAGTATTTTAAATCTTCATTACAAAGCACGAAGCTGGGTGTACATGTCTGTTAAAATACAATTTGTCTAGCGTATCATTATTTGTTTAAACTAATCATTGTTATATTTCTGACCATGAGCATATATCACGCTTAGACAGAGGGGGGTGACTTATCAGTTTGTAATATTATGTTATATGGGGTAAGCAGCGGTAGAAAGCAGTCTTATATATTACTTGTTTTTTTTTTTTCTTAATTTTTATTTCGCTCAGCACTATGCTCAACCGCTTCTATTTTCCCAAGCATGAGCCAAGTACTCTTCCGAGCTGAGTGGACTCAGGGACGTCGTAGGGTCTCGAGCCCAATATGCAGGCTCGAGACTTTACAAGTCAATATGTAAAATGTTTGGATGAATAGGCAGAGGCGTAGTGATCCTACCGGGGACAAACTTTAAATTTGGCACCCCCACCTACTCCCTCGCTACGCCTATGTGAATAGGTGACCCCAACTGGTTTACATACGTTTGTTTTTTTTTCTTCCCAATTCAGTATAAATCCTGGTATCTGTTTGTTGTGATAATACCACACGCTTTTATCTCTATTGTCCTATTATCAAATTCTAAGTCGTTTTTTTTTCTATCTTGATTAGGTTAAGTGTGGTTGGGGAATGGGTTTCTTGGAAATACTTAATTTGAACTGTGGACTTGTGATAATGTTATGTAATTGTTAAAAGGAAGTGTGTGAGTTAAAATATCTTATATTCGTTTCATATAAAGGGCGTCACTTTTTTATGTAGTTTGAACATTTGTATTTTCCTTTACTCTGTGTATATTTCACATGCATAGGCGTGTGTAGACACTCAAATGTTTTTTGTTTTTTTTCAGCTTTCAGTGATTGCTGCTGTTTGGAGCCATGGGTTCGAACCCGGGCTCAGGAAGGTGGGGTTATGGTGAGTTTTATAAAGACATGTGCGAACAGTGCTGGTCTCTGCGACAGGGCAGGTTGCTGATCACAGAGCATGGCAAGGTGCTGAGCACACATCAAGAAAAAGTGCTGAGCACACATGAAGACAAGGTGCTGATAGTGAAGTGTCGAAGGGATCCGAAGTCATGCACCTGGGCCGAGACCACGTGATCTACAGAGTAGAAGCAGTAGAGGCAACTATTCAAGGGCAGGCGGAAGGCGCGAGTCACTGCTAAGACTAGTTCCACCAAGTGAAAAGGTGCAAGACACATTTTTCACTGGCGTTTTTCAAAATAACTTTCGTGTTAAAGCATCGATGAATTTCTTTTTTTTTAACTGATTATTTTTACTTTTAGGGGACTAACGGACAGCTTTTCACTGCAGGAAACAATGTTGATATTTTGACGCGAAGAATTGCATATTTCAGTCTAAGAAATAACAGCCAGTTTGGATCTTGAAGCCTTAGTTGTTATGTTTGTATCAGCAGATATCAGTCATGTAAGATGTGTGGTTAGCCTCAATTGGCAGTCACTGCTATAAGTTGTTTGATAGTAGAGTCAATCTAGTCAGTAGTGTCTATAGGTCAGGTGTCACCCCCTCAGTCAACGATTTTATATATATATATATATATATATATATATATATATATATATATATATATATATATATATATATATATATATATATATATATTTATATATATATATATATATATATATATATATATATATATATATATATATATATATATAATGCACCCCCATCCCTGTTCCCAAAAGGTATCACCCTGTGCCTAATTATCTAAAAACCATTATACGTTATTAAACTAACTGCAGGGGAAAAAGACTTTCTCATTAAAATTTGTTATTTCCCGTTTTGTTAACACCACTTTGAATGATGTCACTTGGAGCAGTGTGCATCCTACGCCCCCCCCCCCCCCCGCCTTGTGACGCTACTAAACCTAACACTTGCCGAATGACCGTCATGCTTAGAATATATGTAAGAAGATGAAATTAAGAATGTGAAATTTTTTGTTAAAAATAAATAGCTCAACTCATAAAAGTTTTTAATTGCATTTATGTTGTTCAAAAATAAAAGCTCCGAATCACGATACTGTAATTTGGCTGTAATTTATCCAGAGCCTACGGTGCTGACCTCACCTCCCCTTCAAAAAAACATAGGAACTCTACGTCATCTGCCCAATGGATCGCTAGGTATAAAGAGGATTCTTTACTTTAAGTGGTAGGTCTGGATAAGAGCAAGCTGATCTGTATCAATGTAAGAAGGTTTTTATTTTTACTTCTTTTTTTCTGTTCGATCTCTTTATATTGGAAATTATTCTTGAAAGTGAGTAGTAAAGTAGCCTACACTTTCGAGCCTTACGGTCCATGGTGAAGGTGAAGTAGAGTTCGTATGCTTCAGTGACCAGTGTTTCTTCCACACAGAAACTCTGTCAGTGACCTCGACATATGAAGGGATAGTGTGATCAACACTATGCTCAACCGCTTCTATTTTCCCAAGCATGAGCCAAGTACTCTTCCGAGCTGAGTGGACTCAGGGACGTTGTAGGGTCTCGAGCCCAATATGCAGGCTCGAGACTTTACAAGTCAATATCTTTACCATCCAGTGGCGTAGCCAGGATCGTCTCAAGGGGAGGTTCCAATTTTTACACGGGGACAAACTTTCGATTTGCACCCCCCCCCTCAAACTTTCGATTTGCACACCCCACTCAAACATTCTATTTGCACCCCTCCCCGTCAAACTTTCGATTTGCACCCCTCCCCTCATACTTTTTATATATATAGCGAGGGGTCTATGGGGGGTTATGACCCCCCTAACCCCCCCCCCCCCTGCCTACGCCACTGTTACCATCTGACCACGCCGAATGGAGCTCTAGCTTATTAATTCTACCGTCAAACCAGTTTTTATAGTATGGGACAGGGATGTAGGAACTACAATATCAGCTGAAAGAAATTACAAGGTTTTGTGAAAACATGCCCCAAAAGATTACATATCGTATCTGCTGGCCCAACCAGAAGCGTAGCGAGGGGGGGGGGCGGGGGGGGACATATGTCCCCGGGCGCCGACCTTAGGGGGGCGCCAAATTGAAAGTTTGAGGGGGTGCAAATGAAAAGTTCGAGGGGGGGGGGCAAATCGAAAGTTCTGAGGGGGTGGTGCAAATGAAAAGTTCGAGGGGGGTGCAAATCGAAAGTTTGTTCCGGGGCGCCGGGAAGGGTCGCTACGCCTCTGGGCCCAACGCCATCACCAATGAATAACTGTAGCAGCGCACCCAACTAGATACGGCTGAAACTGAAATCCACTCAAATCAATAAAATAAAGGCGAGGAGATATGCGTGGTCAGATCGGTTTTCAGCTCATGGTTGCTGAACCGAAAAGTCTCAAGTTCGAACCCCGAACGATATACTCGTAGCGGGGGACAGCAACTACAATCTCCACAATCAAATATATATAGTCTGTTCTTGGACAATGAAGCAAATTCTATTATGTTGTATAACATTATATGGGAAAGAAAGGTGCGATATTTTTTTTTCGATTATGAGGAAGCAGGGGAAGCTACTCCAATAAAACAAATTACACCCATGTAAACAAGTAGGCCTTGTTTTTGTATTGTTTGGTGAGGGGTAGAAATAAAGTCACAGTGTCATAAATAATAAACATATTCGATCTATCTAGATCTAGATATAACTGAATGTGTATTGTTTTCGACTCAAATTGATTTTGCAATTTAATTTCTATTGTTGCCCGATGTAGATTCTATATTAAACTATTGTAAATTAGAAAGAGGTGAAAACAATCTGTCGAGGCGAGGACCCGACGCGGAAAACAAAAATTCAAGGTTCGATCAAAGTCCACAATAGGCCTATATCTAGTAATAAGTAATACTAAAGGTAACTAAACTAAAGGTAATAGGATCTAGATCTAGAGTCCTACTAGAGTACATCTATAGTCTATAGACTAATATTTAATCTGTTTTGTATTTAGGCCTAATAGGCAAAATTAATAAAAGTACCCTATAGTCTATAGGCTTAAATGTCACTAATAAATGATAAAATTGATATAGCAGGAGAAATAGGCCTATAAAAATATTAAAATAAATTACTCTGCTGAATTACTAGAATTAGGCCTAGACCCCAATTTTTTATTAGGTATAATTAGGAGCCTACCTAAAGTGCCTAAACATCTAGATCTATACTCTATAATAGTCTATAAGCTTAAGCCTAGGCCTATATGACATTATATTTATATGTCATGAATATGAGAAAAAAAATTCCTAAGCAGTGTGATGTTATTGATAGATGTGTTATAGGCTATAAAAATAATAGATTATAATTGGTTTTCCTATTCAATGATTAGATCTAGGTCTACTTTTTTAAAAATTCATTAAACATGGGTATTGAATTGCTATCGACCTATAGGTGACATTTTATATATGAAGTTTCTAGTTAAACGTTAGAGTATTTAAGCCTATATTAGATTATTATTGAATCTAGATCTAGGCAGTTATATTAATAGTTTACTTATACCAGCATTCAAACACTCTCCTATTTAAGGTCCTTGAAAAAGAACGTGTTTGTAAAAAAAATATATTACAATTATGTTTATTGTCCAAATTTTTAAGGTGGATTCCCGAATCTCATCATGTCATGTTTGCCTGTCGTCCCTACTGGGACATAGGCCGCTGACAAGAGCTTTCCAGACGTCTCTGTCCAGGGCTGGTCTCTCCAACTGTCCCCAGGTGTATCCAATCTTCTTGGTGTCTTCTTCCAGGTCACATCTCCAGGTCTTTCTTGGTCTGATTCCCGAATCTACTGGTTGTAAATTATGTTAAAAGCTTTTCCATCCATTGGGAAGATGCCGGCTCAGTGGAGGTCACTCTTTCCAGCAACTGTAGCAGCTCGCCAGTCATCTGTCAGCACACTTCCACCTAAAGCTGTCATATTTGATATGGGGGGTGTGCTCATTCCCACACCTCTACATTTATTCAAAGGTTTGTTTCTTGTGTGTGGAATGCACTGTTTTTCATTTTATTTCTATACAATGCAAGTTTCTTATAAAATATCCATCAGCGAGACTGTACAAAGTACATTTTAGTTTCCTAAAATTTGTTAAGTGACAAAAGTCTAAAAACTAGTTTTCTTCATCAAGAGTAGAAATTTTAAATCTAATTGGAATTGGAAGCAGTGTGTGTGACGGTGGTTACAAATATAATCCCCTAAAGGAAAGCTTTTTCACATTATGTTACAGCTTTGGTGATGCCACACTTATGTTGCTGTCAGTTTTTTAGATTATACTGTATTAAATATACATAATACAAAATATTGCCTACCTCTATGACTAGAAGGTTTTACTTTTAGCTAGGTAGTAAGATTGGAACATAAGAAAGTAGTTAGATAGTAAAATCAGAACATTGTTATCTGTCATTATTATGTCATTTTCTATAGAAAAGGTGTTAACTTAATTACTGTGACACATTTTCAGATTTTGAGAGACACTCTGGCCTCCAGAGTGGGACAGTCTCTCGCTATGTTGTGGCCGGAGGCTCTACTGGACCCTGGGCTCAGCTAGAACAAGGGAAGTTAACCCTGTCAGAATTTGCGCGCATTTTTGCCAGTGATCTTTCAAAACAGGTTAATATTTTATTTCAATATAAAACATTAAAAAATTCAAGCTTATATTTTAAATTAAAAAGATGTAAACTGAAAGTCTATTTATCTATATGTTTTATTTTTATAAATAGTCTTACCCTTTACAGTTAATTGAAGTTGATGAAGTAGAGTTCATCTGTTTCTTTGACCATGACATGAAAATATATTGTATTCACCACCGGACTCAACCACCTTTACTTTCCATTACTCAAGTCAGGAACCCATTAGAGCTGGGTAGACTCAGGGCCATCCTATGAACCTGAGCCAGTAGATTTATCGAGACTTTTTCGTCAGTAATTGTTCTCGATATATCTCGACTGCACTATCTCAGTATAATATAATTATAAATATGTAAATGTATAAATAATTTATCTTAAAAATCCTTCATCCAATGTTTATATTTTAGGCAGGTCGGGACATTGATGTGTCGTACATTATGAAAGGCATGACGTTGGGTAATTCCCAAGCTTACCCCTGTATGGTCGAGGCTATCAAGTGTGTCCGGGGGGAGGGGATCAAGACAGCGCTGCTGACCAACAACTGGTTCACAGATGAACAGAAGACACAGACATGTTGTCCAGTGGACAAGTCTTTGTTTGATGTGGTAGGTCTGTGGGGCACTCTCTCTCTCTCCAGATATACAATGTGGTAGGTCTGTAGGTCACTCTCTCTCTCTCCAGATATACAATGTGGTAGGTCTGTAGGTCACTCTCTCTCTCTCCAGATATACAATGTGGTAGGTCTGTAGGTCACTCTCTCTCTCTCCAGATATACAATGTGGTAGGTCTGTAGGTCACTCTCTCTCTCTCCAGATATACAATGTGGTAGGTCTGTAGGTCACTCTCTCTCTCTCTCCAGATATACAATGTGGTAGGTCTGTAGGTCACTCTCTCTCTCTCTCCAGATATACAATGTGGTAGGTCTGTAGGTCACTCTCTCTCTCTCCAGATATACAATGTGGTAGGTCTGTAGGTCACTCTCTCTCTCTCCAGATATACAATGTGGTAGGTCTGTAGGTCACTCTCTCTCTCTCCAGATATACAATGTGGTAGGTCTGTAGGTCACTCTCTCTCTCTCCAGATATACAATGTGGTAGGTCTGTAGGTCACTCTCTCTCTCTCCAGATATACAATGTGGTAGGTCTGTAGGTCACTCTCTCTCTCTCCAGATATACAATGTGGTAGGTCTGTAGGTCACTCTCTCTCTCTCCAGATATACAATGTGGTAGGTCTGTAGGTCACTCTCTCTCTCTCCAGATATACAATGTGGTAGGTCTGTAGGTCACTCTCTCTCTCTCCAGATATACAATGTGGTAGGTCTGTGGGGCACTCTCTCTCTCTCCAGATATACAATGTGGTAGGTCTGTAGGTAACTCTCTCTCTCTCCAGATATACAATGTGGTAGGTCTGTAGGTCACTCTCTCTCTCTCCAGATATACAATGTGGTAGGTCTGTAGGTCACTCTCTCTCTCTCCAGATATACAATGTGGTAGGTCTGTAGGTCACTCTCTCTCTCTCCAGATATACAATGTGGTAGGTCTGTAGGTCACTCTCTCTCTCTCCAGATATACAATGTGGTAGGTCTGTAGGTCACTCTCTCTCTCTCCAGATATACAATGTGGTAGGTCTGTAGGTCACTCTCTCGCTCCAGATATTTGATGTGGTAGGTCTGTCTTGAATTGGTCTGTAGGTCATTCTCTCCAGATGTTTAATGTGGTAGGTCTGTTTTGCTTTGGTCTGTTGGTCACTCTGTCCATATGTTGGTCATGATTATCCTACAGATTATTTTAGTTTGTCTTTAGTCTGAGTGTCACATTTGTCTTCTTTAAGGCAGTCATACATCTCTAAGTTTTTCTAGCTATTTGTATAGGTTGCAATGTCCAGTCATTAGCCTCTATGTTAATGTGCCCAGTCATTAGCCTGTTTGTCACTGTGTCCAGTCATTAGCCTGTATGTCACTGTCCAGTCATTAACCTGTATGTCACTATGTCCAGTCATTATCCTGTATGTTGCTATGTCCATTCATTAGCCTGTATGTCACTGTCCAGTCATTAGCCTGTATGTCACTGTGACAGCCTGTATGTCATCATACCCAGTCATTAGTTCAGCCCCTGACAAACTGTGCCAACCACACCTTCAGGTTGTGGAGTCATGTGTGGTGGGCTGCCACAAACCTGACCCTAAGATCTACCAGCTGTGTCTGCAAGAGTTGAATCTCCAACCTGATGAGACAGTTTTCCTTGACGACCTGGGACATAACCTTAAGGCGGCCTTGAACTTGGGCATCAGGACCATCAAGGTGAATTAGTAATTGGGAATTAGTGCCATTAGGGTAAATCAGAGTATTGGGTTGTTTTTTTTTTAATTTATATGTAGTAATTATAGCACTCCTAGCGATAGAGCGCTAGACTGCTAACCCGAAAGTCACAAGTTCTAACCCAGGTTCAAGTCAGTAAAATGTCCACCCAGCTCTGATGGATACCTAACTCACATTAGGGGAAAGTGGCTGGGCATAGTTCTGACTACGCTATGCTACATTTTATACACAGAGGTCTCTCAAACAGATCAGCTGTTCTTCAACTGCCCCGTATGTCTTGGGCACGAACCGGAAAAGATGATGATAAATTATTGCATTAATTTAATTATATTTATATCTGCTAAGGTGACCAGCCCAGAACAAGGAGTGGCAGAGCTAGAAAAAGTGATTGGCGCTGATCTTAAGGAGTTTATACCTGGCACTAAAACTGTTCCAAAACGTCTGGAACTAAACATAAACAATTTGGAAAATTATTTGAAAACTTTGGGACTCCAAGACAACTGTAAGTCTATATCCTCAACAAAATAAGTTTTTTATCTACATATTATTTACATGTAATTTATGTCCTTACAACAATTGTAAAAAAAATGTGCAGCCTACAATATCTAACTATGTTTACTTTACCTTAGCTTCCCCAGAACCAGACTGTTCTAACTCCCATTTTTTTTAGAGAGGAGTTAGATTAGTCTGGTTCTGGGGAGTCTATAAATATCTAACAATATGAAGTAGAGTCATGAACATATTAAACTTTATCCGACAGCCCAACCAGTGGTAAAGGTATTTGAACATGGTGAATCTAACCCCACATACTACGTCTCGTATGGAGGGAGGAGAATGGTCTTACGAAAGAAACCGGTACATACAAAACATATTTTAGTTACCATTTGTATTAGATGTTTTTATGTTTTCAACTTGTAACAACTGAAAGAATGTATTTTAATGTTTCCTCTGTTTACTATGGTCTTAACCTAATTGATTCATTTGTTCTAATTAAGATAACATTATTTTGATTTTTTAATTTTGTTTTATGTATCCCATCTAGTAAATTGTCGTATATTGCACACAGCTTAATTTCTCTAATGATCCCTGTTTAAAAGTTTTAAATTATTCAATGTTTCCCAAATGTAATTAGTAATTAGTTATTAATTAAATTGTTCAATGTTTCAAATTATCCACCCCAAATATAATTAGTTGTAATTAGTAATTAGTCAGTAATTTAATTGTACAATGTTTGTCTTAGCCTGGCAAGCTTCTACCTTCTGCTCATGCTGTAGACAGAGAGTTCAAGGTCATGTCTGCTGTGGTCAAGGCTGGAGTTCCTGTCCCAAACATGGTGGCGTACTGTAATGACGACAGGTAGATGTCAGTAGATGACAGTTGACATGTACATTTTTGATTACCTTTTATGTGTCATCTTCATTTCTTTAAAATAGAATTTATAGGAAATTTTTCAAATTTAATCAAATCCTTTTTACAGTGTACAAATCTTAACATACGTTAAATAAAAATAAAGATTCCTATTTAGACCTAGCGATCCATTTGGCAGTTTCTTAACCTCGGCCATACAAGGTCAGCGCTATGCCCAGCAGCTTTTATTTTCTTAATGTGACTTGGGTACCCCTCATAGATTTGTGGATCAGGGACATTCTACACACTTGAACCCGGATTCAAACTCAAGACTTTTTGGGTTAGCAGTCTATCGATCTACCGCTAGGCTAAGCCATCCTTTTTAAAATATGTTAGACTGTGTTTAAAAGAGTATACAATATAAATCATTTTACATGAACTGATAATTGCCAAATAAGAAAAACATGTCAGTTCCTTGGAACTCTTTCCATCAGGTGAATAAATTCTTTAATTGTTCTACCTAGAATTTTTAAAATTATCATGTTGTTAACACTGAGGTTTCATCTTATACATATTTTACTGTATATACTTAAATACCTTAATAGTAATTACACAATGACCTCCAAATTTTTACTGATGTTTTTGTTGTTAATAGTTTTTCTTAGTTGTTACTCTATCAATAGCTGAAGTTACTTGATTGTATTTTGTCTTTTTTTTTATTGTTTAATCTCCACCTTTGTGGTTGTCTCCCTTGGTCCAGTGTGATTGGCACACCCTTCTATTTAATGGACTACATGAGAGGGAGGTTGTTTAAAGACCTCAAGCTTGGGGAAGTGCCACGCAGCTCAAGGCGGGAGATTGTCATGGCCATGGTCAAAGTCCTCAGCCAAATCCATGCTGTGGACATTGACAAAGTCGGCTTGTCTGATTATGGCAAGAAAGGTATTCAACATTTGTAATTCCAATAATAGCAAAATAGACGTAAAAAATGACTATAGAAAAAAAAGGTATACACAGTTTGTTTAATTATGATAAATAAAAGATTTACCAAACTCTTGTCTGATTATAGTTTTAAAGAAGTAAACACAAAATTTAGCACATTGTGGAAAGAAAGGCATACAATATTTGGTAGCAGGACATTACACCCCCAACATTTCCATCCTGACAATTACTCTCAGCCCGATTAGGGTTAGGTGTAGATTTAGTTGGGGTTAGTCTTGATGGGTTTAGGTTTGGGGTTAGGGTTCTTCAGCATGGGATGTCGGAAAATGGGGGTTAAAATTATGCCGGGGAGGGGGGGGGTGTAACATCCCAGTCCTACAATATTTTTATGAATAAGCTTAACCAAATTTACAAAATTTGTATAATTATAACAAAAACAAGGGTGTTTTTTTTTTTTATTATATCAAAAATCATATACAAAATAAAATGTATGTCTTTTGATGGCTAAAAACATTATACTAAAGGTTATCTGGTTATAAAAGAAAGGTATACACAATCTGATTGATTATGACTAGAAAGGTATACAAAATTTGACAGGCTAATTATGACTAGAAAGTTATACTAAAAGTTATACAAAATAGACTGTCTGAAACATTGGTTTATATCTCACATACAGTTTATCTTTATAATACAGAGAAAGGTCAGCAGTTTTAAGTATCCCTGTCAATTTTAATTTGTTACACTGTGATATAAAAGGGTACCCCCCCCCTCCCCAATCCATTGCAGGCCAGTTCTGTGAGCGTAACTTCAAGCGCTGGGCCAGCCAGTACAACATGAGTAAAACCCATGAGATCCCTGCCATGACCAAACTGATGGAGTGGCTGCCCAAACACATGCCACAAAATGAGAGAGTTACAGTAGTTCATGGGGATTTCAGGTTGGTCCATTTTTTTCATTTGTTGTGGGGGTTTCAGGTTAGTCCAATTTATTTTGGTAGTGGGGTTTTAGGTTTGACCATTTTTACTTTCTCGTATATACGAAGTATAGAGAAAGCATTGAAATCGTGCAAAAAAAACAACATAGTTTTGCAATCTTGTCCGTATGTCTGTGTATGTGTGTGTGTGTAAACACGATAACTTGAGTACCGTTACAGCTAGGTTGATGAAATTTCATATATAAGTATTATATCAAAATCATAGATCCGTATCTACTTTTGAGCGATTTCCGATAACCGGAAGTGGAACTTTTTCTACTTTGAATTTTTCAAAAGCCTATAACTTGAGTACTATTTCAGATAGATAAATGAAATTTCACATGTAAGTAAAAGCTCTAATTTTCTGCCTTCTTTCAAATTTTGAGTAATTTCTTTGACGGAAGTAGTAATTTTCACTATTTCCGATTTCTCAAAAAACACATGTGAATTTATAAAGTACTAATAATATTCCGCACTATTTTACACATCTTTATTCGGCGTTCGCTTGGTGCGCAATCCTTTTTTCTATGAGATTCTATTCTGTTTTAAAAAGTTTAAGTATTTAAAATGGATTAAAAATCATAACTATATCCCGAGTTCCCATCCCCTGCTGTGTTATATAAAAATATTCGAGAAAGGGGAGATCACTACCAGTTTATTTCATTTGCTGTTGGGGTTTCAGGGTTGTCTAATTTACATTTGAATGGAGGTTTCAAGTTTGTATGATTTTCACTATACAACTATTACAGTTGTAACATGTCTAGGGAAAAAAAACTCGCAAATAGTTAATATGTTAATTAAAAACATTGTGTAAACATGGTGTTTGCTGTTGGGGTTTCAGTTTAGTCCGGTTTATTTTAACTGTGGGGGTTTCAGGGTTAATTTAATTTTTTTAGCTTTCTTTTTCTTTTGCACATTCCAAAACAGTCTAACTCTAATAGAATTAGATTTGGAATTTTTGGCTAGTCCAATATCTATTAGCGGTTGGCATTTCTGGTTATTTGAGTTTGTATGAAGAAATTAATTAAATTTTTAAAATATTGCTACAAAAATAATATTTTTACTTCAGTTTAAGTAATTTTTCTGGCCACTTTTCATGCTAGGTGTTATAACATATTATCCATGTATCCAGAACAGGTCATTCAGTCTTCATTCTAAAATTACCATGTCTAACTGTCACTTTGATCTTGCAACAGGCTTGACAACCTGATGTACCATCCTGAACAAAATGAGGTCATGGCGGCCATTGATTGGGAGCTCTCCACTTTGGGAGATCCAATCACAGACCTAGCAACATGTGTACTGGCTTACTACCTCCCAGCTGAGGTACCCCTTCCCCCAGGTATTTTGTTCATTGTTATTCCATTATCTAATTAAATTAGTAAACTTAAAAATGACAAGTGTACTAATTGGAAAAAATTAGAAAATCCATTTATTTGAAAAAAAATTTTAATTTAGGACTAAAAGGTGCTGATGTACAAAGTTTGGGAATCCCAACAGTTGATGAAATCCTTGCAGAGTATTGTAAACTGAATAACCTCCCCTCTATAGACAACTGGGACTTTTATATGGCTTATGTTTTCTTCAGAATTGCTGCCATTTTACAGGGGGTTTACAAAAGAGCCATTTCAGGTAATAAAATAATAATTTTTTCTAATTTTGTGATTTTGTTCTCTTATTCGAAATTTGTACAAACATTTCTTTCTAGTTTTAAAATTTCTGTAAACATTTCAGTTTAGTTTCAAAATGTGTGTAAATATGCCTGTTTAGTTTTACAATTTGTGTGCACAGGTCAGTCTAGTTTTACAATTTGTGTACACAGGTCAGTCTAGTTTTACAATTTGTGTACACAGGTCAGTCTAGTTCCTCCAGTGGAAAAACTGTTGGTCTGTTTGCTGAAACAATGGCTAATGTTGGATGGGAGATTGCCTCTAAGAGCAAGCTGACGCCTACAACAAACAACGCCAGTGCCTCTAGCCAAATCCAACAAACTCGCAACTTCTCAACCCTGAGGTCAGTAGGACGACAGACCATCATGTCCACTTTAGCTCGACCTCTGTCCTCTGGGGCTCCAGGACAAGTGGGTGAGTGTGCACAGGGGTGGGGTACAAAGTGGGTCACCCCACTGGCATATTTATGCTTAGGAGGTCACTTTGTACTTGCTGACCAAGTATGTTACTTTTATGATTTTTATTAGGTAAAAAAAGCCAATGATATCATTATAAACAAAAATGTAAACGTTCCAATTATCTAATTTTTATAACACTGATTAAATTTTAATCATCAGTATCAATTATGTTAATTTTATATTTGTTATCGATACTATTTTGCAATTTATTCAAAAACCACATTATCATTTTATGGTCTAAGTTATTCTAGATAGATAGAAGTATTGAACTTGCAGTGCTATAAATTATTATTTCTCAATTAATATCTGCCAAATCATTATTATTATAAAATGATTCTTTCCTCCTCTCCCTTCCCTCTCTCAGGGCAGATGGCTGTGACAGTTGAAGGTTTGTCCCCGCGGGTCCAAGACCTCCACAAACGTGTGAGACAGTTTGTCCAGGATCACGTAGTACCACTGGAGCCTCTACGTGTGCAGCACATGCAGAGTGACCACAAGTGGACGATACTACCTGAGACAGAGGCCCTAAAGGTAATCCATTATGTGTTGTTGTTTTTTTTTTCAATTTTTTTTTCAGTTTTTGCAAGCTTACAATAGGTTTTATTAACACTTTAATAACGCCTTTTAACTTTCTGCTGCTGCTCTAGGCTAAAGCTAAGGAACTAGGCTTGTGGAACCTGTTCCTGCCCAAAGAGTCTGACCCAGCAGGAAAGTATGGGGCAGGCTTGACCAACTTGGAGTATGCCTTCCTGTGTGAAGAGATGGGCAAGTCCATGCTGGCCCCTGAGGTAGATTATCCTTAGATTATAATTGTTTTAATGTAGACTATTCACACGAATTATTGCCCTTAGATATAGAGTTATGTCCTTATGTTCCAGATTTTTTTATTATTCACTATAGCAATTACCTTTATATTTCTATTTGTTATGTACACTTCATTTTTTTATATACATTAAACATCTTTTTTTTTGTAAAATCTATTGTGTTGTAATACGATGTCATTTTGTAAAAATTGCTTTTTTTTTTACAACAATCCTAGTATGAACTATCTATTTATAGATTTATCTCATTGTTCAAATTTAGTAATTACCGACATTTCAAATGCATCTTTTGAGTTTTTTAAAATAACTACAACTATTCAATTGTGAGAGTTTTACCTTATTCTGATTACCTAACTTACCTGCACTCCAGGTGTTTAACTGCAGTGCACCAGACACAGGTAACATGGAGACACTGGTCAGGTACGCAACAGAAGAACAGAAGGAGAAATGGCTGAAGCCACTGCTGGATGGAAAGATTCGCTCTTGTTTTGCTATGACAGAACCAGCCGTAAGTGCTGTAGTCTTGTGTTCAAATCCTTGTTGGAATGACAAGCAATTTGTTTAACTGATCTATGTTCTTGAGAGTAGTTGTAAGAAAAGTTATGATTGACTAAAGTTTTTTTTTTATCTCATCCTGATAGGTGGCCTCATCCGATGCTACAAATATAGAATCATCTATCAGACTGGAGGGAGAACATTACATAATCAATGGTCACAAATGGTGGACATCAGGTAGGGGGGGTTGCTTAAGTTCAAGAAATGTGGCACAGCTTTCTTTTTCCTCGCTCTTAATTTTAATATTGGAGTGGCATTCCTCCAACCCAATTAAGTATCATGTGTCAACATGTTATGCACCATATTGCATGTTGACTCTAACTTTAGCCTGCTTTTCTTTCTGGATTTGCTTCCATAGGCTTAGTCGTAAAGGGAGATAATAACATTGTCACTGTCTATAAATTTAAGAAAACTGCTTCTTAATAATTGCATCAGAAAATTGAAGACTATTCAGCAGTGATACCTCAAACTATATTGGTATATGTATTTTATGTCTGTTTTTATGCCCATTCATATTACGAGCAAAAACTATTGCAACAACGACAACAACGGTCACTCTGTTTCACATTTTTAGGTGCTCTGGACCCCAGGTGCAAGATTTGTATCTTCATGGGTAAGACAGACACCTCAGCTCAAAAACACAGGCAGCAGTCAATGATTCTCATCCCAATGGACACTCCTGGGGTGAAGGTTGTCCGACCACTGACAGTTTTTGGTTATGATGACGCTCCTGGTAATTTGTTTTTAAATCAGCTTTATATTTGTTAGGATATATAAATTTTCAATATATATATAAATTTTCATTTATTAAATTTTATTTTTTAAACCTGAAAATGCAAATGTGTAATTAAGGTGATTCAATGCTCTGTTTTAAAAAAAGACAAAAAGAGGGGTATTCTAGTAACTTGGAGCACATAAATATTTAATGTCTAACAAGGCTATTTTTTCAGCACTGCAATATTGAAACATTAAATGTTTATGTGCTCCAAGTTACTTCCCATTATACATATATTAATCAAGGGGAAATCAATATGTAGCTATGTTCCTAAAGGTCATCAGCAAACACATAAATTCAAAAGTAACAAAACAGAAAAATAATTCATTGTTTATTATTTTCTTAATATAACTATTATAATTCTAAAATTACTGTTTGGACACTCTTTATACTTCTTCGATACCAGAATATTCATTTTAATGTAGTCTAAATATACAAACATTAGTTGTGTTAAGAACACAATTTGTGGAAATGTGAAATTTTAAATAAATTAACAATGCAAGCAAAATGGACAATTTAGTGCAAGAAAAGAATTTAATTAAAGAAGAAATTATGTTAATAATATTATTCCCACCTCATGGGAATATTAAATACCCCTCCTTTTGTCTTTTTTTTAAACAGAGCATTGAATCACCTTAATTGCACATTTGCATTTTCAGGTTTAAAAAATAAAATTTATTTATACATTGTTTTAGATCTATTTATAATTAAATCATCATAAATGAATGAAAGTAGGCCTACATATCAGAAAGTATTAGTATTGTAAATCTGTCTGTATCAGTCCTCATGAGCCGAAGATGAAAACTGTAATACTAAAGCGAACATGACAAGATAAACCTTGTAAATTACATGTCTCAGGCAAAAAAAAAAAATTAACTAGAAACGTTAATAAAAAGCAAATTGTATGGAGGGATAGTGATACAACTGTTGACATTCAGAGGAAAATAAACACTCTACTGACTTGAACCCAGATACCGACGATTTAAAATTTACCTTTTAAACTGCCTAATTTTACACGTTAAAGTAATTTGACCTTCTATAATTTAAACTGCTCTTTGACATACAAAAATAAATAAAGAAAACACATGGATAAAAGAAAAATCCCTCTAAAATTAATCTTAAGTTTTCATATAGCTGTCAAAAATTAATTAAAACACAAATAATCAAATTAGTTTAAAACACTAAATTTAAGACCCCAAAATTCCCCAAAATTTAGTTGTTTTTTTTTTATGGACCCAAAATTTGAAAATTTGTAATAAATTAGTATGAAGATCTGCACTTAAAATTTTTAGCTGAGTACCCCAAAATTATGAATTCATTCTCTATTGGGCTTAAAATATAATACTTTATGAATGTTGAAAATCCTTTGAATAGGTTGATTGGTCGGGTTTGTCATAGTTACCAAGATTTTCCCACCAATTTTTTTTATCGGAAACATGTGGATGTACCTTTAAAACCTAGAGAGAAAATATTGTTTCCTATGAGTATTAAAAAAGTTTTTTTTAACTGCGCAGCCCCCCTTAAATTTTGCCGTGGCTTGTTTATGTTTTCAGTTTAGCACGCATGAGCTTTACTGACCTCAGCACACAAACCCCTTTGGTATAGCAATTGTTGAAGCATGTTGTGTTGTATAGCAATTGTTGAAGCATGTTGTGTGGTATAGCAATTGTTGAAGCATGTTGTGTGGTAAAGCAATTGTTGAAGCATGTTGTGTGGTATAGCAATTGTTGAAGCATGTTGTGTGGTATAGCAATTGTTGAAGCATGTTGTGTGGTAAAGCAATTGTTGAAGCATGTTGTGTGGTAAAGCAATTGTTGAAGCATGTTGTGTGGTATAGCAATTGTTGAAGCATGTTGTGTGGTATAGCAATTGTTGAAGCATGTTGTGTGGTATAGCAATTGTTGAAGCATGTTGTGTGGTATAGCAATTGTTGAAGCATGTTGTGTGGTATAGCAATTGTTGAAACATGTTGTGTGGTATAGCAATTGTTGAAGTATGTTGTGTGGTATAGCAATTGTTGAAGCATGTTGTGTGGTATAGCAATTGTTGAAGCATGTTGTGTGGTAAAGCAATTGTTGAAGCATGTTGTCATGAAGATCTTGAGATCTGACCTTCCAATTCATTAAAGAAGTGAAAACATTTGATAATGGGATTAAAGATACATGCATAAAATTGTAATTATATATCCGGAGGCAGAATTTATATATTATATATGAAAATGTACTTAATCTGTATATTTATCTATTATAACTTCTGTTATAGCTCTCCACTGTCAGGGCCCCACCTCCAAATATTTCAAAAAACTGGTTTTTATATCATGCTTTATCTCACTCTCAAGTTTATCTTAATTACAGAAGGTCACGGTGAGGTCATCTTTGAAAACGTCAAGGTCCCCGTGTCTAACATCCTGCTAGGTGAAGGTCGTGGATTTGAAATAGCTCAAGGTCGCCTGGGTCCAGGTCGCATTCATCACTGCATGCGCCTGATTGGCCACGCTGAGAGAGCCCTGGAACTGATGCTGGATCGTGTAAGGATTTAGAGACCAACTGGCTAGTTTGTTATTATATTATCCTTGTAAAGTCTATCACCATTCAGCTAGAATCTTTCACCTGTACTATAAAACAATCAAAATCTCATGACTAATAAACTTTTTATTATTATCATATTTTTTTAGTTAATTTTTACAATATCATTATAAGATTTTAAACACAACACTTTTCTTATCTAACTCTGTTGTCCATGAAATGTATATTTATAATTACTCCTCCCCCTAGCAAATCAAGGTTCTACTAAATTATTTAAAATGTATTATTTAGAACATTGTTTTTCTAGGTAAACTAACTGTATAAAATTTAAAAATTTTATTATTAAAATTTTAAGTTTACAGCAGTTTAAATATCAAATGATTTTTGTTCACATCCTTTATCAGACGACCAAAAGAGTTGCCTTTGGAAAACCTTTAGCTGCCCAGGGGTCAATACAACAGGATGTGGCCAGGTCTAGACTTGAGATTGAGCAATGTCGTCTTCTGGTGTTGAAAGCTGCTTACATGATGGACCTGTACGGCAACAAGGTTTGTTTCAGTCGTATGGTGTACGTAGTTAGTCATGGTGCCACTACATCATATGTTGAATCTGTACAGCAACAAGGTTTGGTTTAGTCGTATGGTGTACGTAGCTAGTCTTGGTGTCACTACATCATATGTTAGACCTGTACAGCAACAAGGTTGGGTTTAGTCGTATGGTGTACGTAGCTAGTCTTGGTGTCACTACATCATATGTTGAATCTGTACAGCAACAAGGTTGGGTTTAGTCGTATGGTGTACGTAGCTAGTCTTGGTGTCACTACATCATATGTTGGACCTGTACGGCAACAAGGTTGGGTTTAGTCGTATGGTGTACGTAGCTAGTCTTGGTGTCACTACATCATATGTTAGACCTGTACAGCAACAAGGTTTGCTTTAGTTATGATGTACGTAGCTAGTCATGGTGTTACTACATCATATGTTAGACCTGTACGGCAACAAGGTTTGGCTTAGTAGTCATATGGTGTATGTAGTCACTAATTCATGTATGTATGTAGTAGGTGATGGTGTCAGGACATCCTATATGATGGACCTGTATGCTAACTAGATGCGTTTTACTCATGGTGTTACAACATTATTCTGTCTCATGGTGTCACAACATTATTCTGTCTCATGGTGTCACAACATTATTCTGTCTCAGTCTTTGAATAGGTCATAACAGAATTGTTTATAGAAATAAATTTTTTAAAAATACTGTGTCAAAGAAGAGCAGAGACCAAATTACATTATTATGGGAAAGTGTGGCCTAGCGGTAGAATGCTAGACTGCTACCACAAAAATCTTGAGTGTGGATCCCATGTTCGAGATTGTAGGACACCCCTGAGTCCACCCAGCTCTAATGGGTACCTGACTCACTTCAAAGAAATAAAGGCGGCTGGGAATAGTGCTGACCACACTATATCCCCTCATATGCCAAGGTCATTGAAATGGTTGAACCCCACTTCATCTGCCCCGTGTGGTCACAAATGAGAAAAGATGATTAAATCACATTATTATTGTGACCAGGTCTTAACCCTCTAGCATTTTGATTGGTGCTGTTTCTTGTATGATGGATAAATTAAACTCAGTGAGAAACTTAAGCATTATATTTTTTAATGTTTTATTAGGTTGCTGCACCTGAGATAGCAATGATCAAAATAGCTGCACCAAACATGGCATTACGGGTGATTGACAGGGCAATACAGGTGAGACAAATGTGTATGTGAGCTTTATACCTACACAGGTACTCTACAGAAATATTCTGTCTTACTTTCTTGTGCTCTGATGCTGTTAAAAATATTTTTTTTTTAAATTTACCTCCCTCTCCTACCCTAAGAAAATCCTGCCTACTCCACTATATTTATGTATAAATGTTAGGCATTATCCAATTATGAAGATAAATAATTAATTTTTTTTAGATGCAGGCTGGGTTAATGATAAGCTGGTCAAACATTGGTCTTTATTATGTCAACATCTTACCTTTTGTTTTTAGGCCAAATTAAAATAGTACATAAAGATCTCTTGGTACACAAATATCATAAAGTTCTCCTGTCAAGGAATCAATATTTTTAGACCATATTAAAATGGTACACAAATATAAAGATCTCCTTTCAATGAAACAATATTTTTAGACCAAATTAAAATGGTACACAAATAACAAAGATCTCCTGTCCAGGAAACATTTTTAAGCCAAAGAAAATGGTACACAAATATAAAGATCTCTTTTCAACAAAACAATATTTTTAGACCAAATTAAAATGGTACACAAATAACATAAAGATCTTCTGTCCAGGAAACAATATTTTTAAGCCAAATAAAATGGTACACAAATATAAAGATCTCTTTTCAACAAAACAATCTTTTTAGGCCATATTAAAATGGTACACAAATATCATAAAGCTCTCATGTCAAGGAAATAATATTTTTAGGCCAAATTAAAATGGTACATTAATATCTCATGTCAAGGAAACAATATTTTTAGGCCTAATTAAAATGGTATGCGAATATAAATATCTCCTTTCTATGAAAAAAAGTTTGGTCTATGTAGAGCTTCAGTTCTGATGAAGTCATCAGACATGTTGACCTACTTTTACAGGCACATGGTGGTGGGGGTCTGAACCAGGACTTCCCGTTAGCTCAGATGTACGCGTGGGCTCGTGTGTTGAGGTTAGCAGACGGCCCAGATGAGGTGCACCTTCAGAGCTTGGCCAGGTCCATGTATGCCAAAAGTGTCAAAGCGAAGATTTAACTCCAGGTCTGGGCTAATATTTAATGTGACAGCCATGCAATTGTTGCGGTCTTTCCAAACCAATAGCATAGCGGGGTGGGGGGGGGGGGGGCATATGTCCCCGGGCGCCGACCTTAGGGGGCGCCAAAATGGGTTGGAAAAATAAATTGAAAGGTTGAGGGGGGTGGAAATCAAAAGTTTGAGGGGAGGTGCAAATTGAAATCTTGAGGGGGGTGCAAATTGAAATCTTGAGGGGGGGTGCAAATCGGGAAGGGTTGCTATGCCTCTGTTCCAAACAGCTGTAATGTAATAGTCTGTTGCGCCACTAGATAGGGTGACACTATGTGGCATAATCAAAGATTGTCGCTCTCCCACCGCCAAAGAGAGAGAGAGAGTGTATCCGATGTACTTTAACCTATTTTTAGGTCACCTACATTCCGGATGGTATCTCTCTGAACCTAAGGTAAAAAAAGGTATCAAATAAACTGGTAAAAGCAGGCTCTCTCTTTAAAATTAGTAATTTATTTATTTTTATGTCACCCCATTGCTTTGTGTCAGCCTTTGTAACCAGCAACCGCACTTTGTTATACTACTGTTAGCAGTTGTCATAGATCACAAACATCTTGTGTTTCATACTGATTGAAATGTTTAAAACTATTTGGTTTATTTTCAGCTTGTACAACTGACATATTGATACATTATCCTAACAAAGTAATTCTGTTCACCTTTTCTAGGCTCACGGTGGTGCAGGTCTAGACAGTAACCTCCCCTTAGCTCACATGTTTGCTGCCTCCAGAACTCTCAGACTTGCAGATGGTCCAGATGAGGTTCACATGAGAACAGTGGCCAGATTTCAGTATGCCAAAATTATAGGGCCAAAGTTGTAAATATTAACAACTAAAAATATACTTTCCTATTTGTTAATCAGTGGTTGAATATATGTTTTTATTCTGGTATTTTAACTTGTATTTTGCTGTAGTCAGTATTTAAATATAAAAAATTAATTCTTTATTTTTCTAAATGAGATGAAATGTTTTTTTAACATTTAAGTGCACTTACTCTTTAACAGTGTATTTAAAATGTCATTTATTTTGTTCACATTTACTATACTTTGTGATGTGACCCTGGCTGATAGCTCTTTTAGAGTACAAAGGTACAACCTCACACACCCCTCATACTTTCCCTTGTATCACACTATATATGTTTATATGGAACATTGTGGTAGAATGATGGAGCATATGACTGCTTTCCTGAAAGTCTCGAGTTCCAATCCGGGTTTAAATCTACAAATGTCCCTGAGTCCACCTAACTCACATTAGGTTAAGTAAAAGCGGCTGGGCATAGTGCTGACCACAGTATCCCTTCATGTGCCGAGATCACAGAATAGGTGAACTCTACTTCACTCGCCCAGTAGACTGTCAGGTTTGAAAGGTTACTTTATTTTTTATATATATTTACATAAATTTACAATAATCAATGATTAATCCAACTGTACAATTAAAACTGCCACTATTTTTAATTTGTGTCACCCCCTTGGATGGTGTCTCCTGGTGTGGTCTGCACCCCTTGTTGCACCTTGTGCAATCTGCACCCTAGGTGCACCTTGTGCTGTCTGCACCCTATGCTCACACGCCTTCCCATACTTAGCCAACAGACTAGTAAATTATTTCACTAAGTCTACTTGCTTACCCTAGAATATTTATTTCATAGTACTTCAAGTTTAGAACTAAATGTTAAAACTAAAACTGAAGTTTTTTATGCAATGATTTGCTATGTATATGATGCTCATTGGAATATTTAATTCACTTAGATAAGACTGTTATTTCTCATAGATCATTTAATTTAATGTTTCCTGTTTACAAATATAATTGTTAATAATGATTTATGTAACAAAATATCTACAAGTATTTTTGTAGAACAACTATTGTACATAATTCTTGTTCATATGATATATAATGATATACTGCTGTGTTAGATGATTGACCAATGCTAGATGATTTTTGTTATCCCAAGAATAAAGCATTTTCCAATCAAATAATTCTTGTGATTGATTGCTGGATTGTTATTTATTCAGAACCAACCCATGCAAGATGTAGACAGTCTTCCATAAAATGGGCCTATATATGTAGATGGCATGGTCGAATGGTAGAGTGTTCAACTGCTAACCTGAAAGTCTCCAGTTGGGGTTCCTGGTTGGATTTGTAGCATGTCCCTGAGTCTACCTAGCTCTTATGGGTACCTGAATTACGTTGGGAAAGTAAAGGTGGCTGGGCTGAAGTCAAAGAAACAGGTGAACTCTACTTCACCAGCCCGTGGTCCACCAGGTCTGAAAGGGAACTTTATATATATATTTATATATATTTATATATAAATATGCAATAAAAAAGTTGTAGCAGTAAAAGAAAGCAATGTCTAAAATTTCAGCTACAACCAGTTCTACGGGTACTGTATCTGTATCAAAACTCCTTCAAATCTTTTAGAGTCATCTCCCCTAGATAATGAAATAAGACCAAAAAATAAAGAGTGTTTGTAAAAAAAAGTGTATAAACTTACAGATTCAGCCGTTTATATTTATATTGCAAAGATTATGCTCTATACCACCCCTCCCTCTAAATTATAATATACTAAGAAGCTAAATCACTCCATGCCTATAACGAACCCTTCTCTAGAACAGTGTTTCTTCCAGACTTTTTTCTCCGGGGGGGATGGGGGGCACTTGAAATTTTCGGGGGGGGGGGGGGGGCCGGACACTGTTAAAAGTATATATTTTCTATATAAATTATATACATTTCATTTCGTTCGGGGGGGGGGGCGGTAAAAAATTTTCGGGGGGGGCAAAGCCCCCCCCCCCCCCCGAAGAGATGCCTGAAAGAAACTCTGCTCTAGAATAATGCTACATGTTTTAGCGTGTATGTTATTGTGGAGGGGGGTAACTCCAGATAAAAATGTAAAAGTACTTGCTCTAGTTGGCGTGGCGTATGCGCATTTCGGCCAAGTACATTTTGGTAAGCATGACTCGTAACCAGAGTTTCTTCCAGGCATCTTTTCGGACTACCCCCCCCCCCCCCGAACGAAATGGAATTTATATAGAAAATATATACTTTTGACAGTGTCTGCCCCCAGAGGCGTAGCGAGGGGGGGGAGCGGGGGGGGGGGACATATGTCCCCGGGCGCCGACCTTAGGGGGGGGGCGCCAAATTGAAAGTTTGGGGGGGGGTGCAAATGAAAAGTTCGAGGGGGGGGTGCAAATCTAAAGTTTGAGGGGGGGTGCAAATCGAAAATTTGCTCCCGAGGGGGGCGCCAAATTGAAAGTATGTCCCCGGGCGCCGGGAAGGGTCGCTACGCCTCTGTCTGCCCCCCCCCCCCCCCCCCCCCCGAAATTGTTGTCCGCTCCACGAAAATTTCAAGTGCAAGAAAAAAGTCTGGAAGAGACACTGCTCGTAACATTTGAAATGGTAGGCTATTTTTAGAGTTAGATTAAAGTAAAGGTGAATGTCATACATTAGCCCACAGGGTAGATCTCTGTTTCTAGAAACGGCTGTAGACAGAGGCGTAGCGACCCTTCCCGGCGCCCGGGGACAAACTTTCGATTTGCACCCCCCCCCCCCCCTCAAACTTTCAATTTGGCGCCCCCCCCCTAAGGTCGGCGCCCGGGGACATATGCCCCCCGCCCCCCCCCCCTCGCTACGCCTCTGCCTGTAGGCGGACCTTGACTTGAAGTTTAGAAGAATCTCTAAGTCTAATTTAGTTTTAACGTCCTTCAGTATTGTTCTTTTGACAGCCCGAGGCTATACGTATAAGGCATGGGCGCAGGCGGGTTTTTTTTTTTATGGGAGTGGGGAGTAGGTCAAAGTATAGTGCTCTGTGATGTAATAATACACAATTACAATCGCATACCCCACTCCTTTCCCTCTAAAATTACATCAACTGCTTACAGCCCCCCCCCCCCCTCCTTTCAAATTTATGACAGGTTAAGTATTTTATTAAACTTCTCGTTAAAGGAGGAGGTGACACCCTAAGATCCCGCAAAGGACTCGCGAACCAATGGCAACGCCACCGATCTGCAACTCTCTTATCACGGCTGATAGCAGCTGTATCAGCGGTGCAAAGGTGGTAACAATGCACAAGCATATATTTGTATTTTTTATCTCCCATTTTTTTATGTGAGTGCACTTTTTCTAAAGTTTTCTTAACCCTTTCCTCGGCAACATACTTGATACTTTATCCGCAGCGACTGTGTGCATCGCAGTCTGAACAGTGTTTCTTCCAGACTTTTTTCTTCGGGGGGGGGGGGGACGACTTGAAATTTTCGGGGGAGCGGTAGACTTTCTTCGGGGGGGGGGGGGGGGGCGGACACTGTTAAATGTATATATTTTCTATATAAAATCGGGGGTCGGCGTGGTCGAGTCGGTAAAGCTCATGGTTGCTAAACCGAAAAATCTCGAGTTCGAACCCTCGGGCAGATGAGGCTCGTTAGCTGGAAACAGCCACTCTTCTAGGAGAGACAACTCCAAAATTAAACAACTGCTGCCTTGTAGTTTGTTCTTGGTTGGACAAAGGCTATGGAAGCAAATCCAAAAAGAAAAGCAGGCTGAAATCGGAGTCAATGGCCTCAATGGCGCATAACCAGTTGACACGTACCGCTTAATTGTGTTGGAGGCGTGGTCGAGTCGGCAAAAAAACTCATGGTTGATAAATTCGAACAAAGTCTCGAGTTCAAACCCACTGGCAGATAAATCTCGATCCCCTTCAACACTAATAATTAAGAACGAAGAAGAAGAAAAGTATATAAAATCCATTTCGTTCGGGGTGGGGGTAGACTTTTTCTCCGCCCCCCCCCCCCCCCCCCGGAAGTGATGCCTGAAAGAAACTCTTCTGACACTGTTTATAAAAGGGAAAATTATTTACGACTATACTTGGCAATTTCATGGATTACACCCATAGTTAAAGCCTTCTTTTACTACTATAATATTAAATAATTGAGAGGTCTGAGTCTGACATCTGGATACTGGTATTCTACAGAGCCACATTTCTCAATCATGTGGATTTAAGTCCTATTTGGTGTAGGCATCTTCATTGAAGATTCGTAAATTCGTATACAAAATACAAAATGCTCTCAAGATTAGTAAGTCGTTTAGATAATCAGAGTTTCTTCCAGACATCTTTTTGCCCCCCCCCCCCCACCCCGAAGGGAGTCTACCGCCCCCCCCCCCCCCCCGAACGAAATTGAATTTATATAGGAAATATATTTTTTGACAGTGTCCGCCCCCCCCCCCTCCCCCCCCCCCCCCCCCCCCCCGAAAATTTCAAGTGCACCCCCGGAGAAAAAAGTCTGGAAGAAACACTGTAGATAATCATCCCTGGGTTATATTATTTTAATGTAATTAAGTTCTTGGGGAGCACATATTCGTTAAACAAAACATTCAGAAGTATGAGCAGGTTTATTTAGTAGGAGCAGCCCTAACAAATATTAAATGAAAAGCTTTTAAGCCTCCAACGAGAAGCTGTCCGTTGATTTTAGATCAATATTTCGCCTAACAAAACTTCAAAATAAAACAGGTCAGAAAAAAAAGGAAGATGTTATTCAATTGACATTTAATTATTTACTCGTTTAACTAATCTGAATAATGAATGAAATTGGGTAAAAAGAAAAGGAAAAAAAGAATCTAAATTAATAATAGTTAATCCATATTAGGCCAAGTATTATAGTCAACGAGCCGGCCCGCGGCATAACATACGTCGCTATTTAGTTGTTTCTAATTTTCAATAATTCATAATTTGTGAATTCGACAGTACCAACGCTGACACTGAAAATATTTCTTTAAAACACTATAAGTAGCTCGTTAAGGACCATACCCCCCCCCCTTCCTTCCCTCCCCCCCCTCCTCCCCCCCCCCCCCCCCCCCCCTACGTTTAAAATCGTTGGCTCTGCTTGTAAACATTTAGAGTGAACACAGCTCACTAAAACCATGTAGGGGTGGGGAGGTAGGGAGAGCGTTTGCAGCTTGTTTTCTAACGGCTCGAAGAAGAGAATTATATATATAGATTGTTTTTGAAAGGGTTAATAGTTGGCCTTCGTCTTTTCTGGTGTTAGTCTAGATCTAGATTTAGGTCAAAATCTGGATCTATTTCGATTCGAGGTCACACGGGAAATAACTCTATTAGAAGTCTGTGCTCGCGGTTCTGCTGCTTATAAACTTTTTAGGAAGTTTAGGCCAATAATCAGTAGACTTACTGGATATAGAAACTAGATTTTCTAGATCTATTACTTTTAATTAGTATTAGCAGTGTCTGAAGCAGTGAAACCATAAAAAATGATCAGCGCTGATCTTACAGAGCTCATACCTGGCACTAAAAGTGTTCCAAAACATCTTGAACTAAACATAAACAATTTGGAAAATTATTTGAAAACTTTGGGGTTACAAGATGACTGTAAGTCTGGTAAATTTATGTTAAACTTGAAAAAGAGAAACTACTATCACATTTTAATCAATAATCATCATGATACCTAATCAAAATTTCCCCCAAACTTTTATCATATTATTATAAATTCTATTTTGTTTGTTAGGGGTGTTAGAATTTCCCTCCCGAAGAGATGCCTGGATGTAAGGGGTTATCCATACATGACAAAATCAGTGATGTTTGGATCACCTTTAACAAGAAAGTTGTTTACTTTTGTCTCTTAATTCTTTGTATACTTATATTTGTATTTCTCACTTAATCTACCTATTAATATTTCAATAACATTGACACTAAAATGTTTTAAAAATTGTTTGACAGCTCAACCTATAGTGAAGGTATTTGAACATGGTGAGTCTAACCCTACATACTACGTCTCGTATGGAGGGAAGAGAATGGTCTTACGAAAGAAACCGGTACATGCAAAACTATTTGTTATATGTTTTTATTATTTTTAAAAAACTAAATTTGAATTTAGGATTTTTCACCTATAAAGCGGTTTCTGATTTACTTTGAGTGTAAAATTTATGGTTTATTGGTTTATGGTGTGCTGTTCTACATTGCACT